GGTCGGGGCATGGGTATAATCTGCAGGCTTTCCAGGCATGCGGATGGAAGATCTTTCTGCCTCTCCTTCTCTCTGTAAATCTCACTTTCCAATAAAAATAAATAAATCTTTAGAAATTATTTATTTGAAAATCAGAGTTGCGAAAAGGGAATGAAAGATTTCCATCTGTTAATTCACTCCCTACATTGCCATAACAGTCAGGATAGGCCGATGCCAGGAGCTAGAAATGTCTTCTGGGTCTCCCACACGTGGAGTAGTGGCTTAGGTACTTGGGCCATCTTCTACTGCCTTTCCAGGGCCATTAGCAGGGAGCTGGATCAGCTGGATCAGATGTGGAGCAGCTGAAGCATGAACCAGGAAAACAGCTCCCATGTGGAATGCCAGTGTCACAGGTGGTGATGTTACCCACTAAGCCACAACACTGTCTCCACTCTTAAATTGCTAAAGTGAGCCTAGCACAGTGGCTTAGTGGCTAAATCCTCACCTTGCATACATCGGGATCCCATTTGGGTACCGGTTCATATCTGTGCTGTTACCCTTCCCATCCACCTCCCTGCTTGTGGCCTAAGAAAGCAGTAGAGTATGGCCTACTGGGACCTGGAAAAAGCTCCTGGCTTTTGGCTTCAGATTGGCTTAGCTCTGGCCATTGCAGCCACTTGGGAAGTTAACCAGCAGTTGAAAGATCTTTTCTCTATAAATCTACCTTTACAATAAAAACAGATAAATTGTTTGTAAAAAAAATTGTTAAGGCAGTTTTAAATGACATGTGGAGTTTTTACGTATTCGTATGTACCATGTGACATTACACTTTCCCTTTCCTCTGAAATGTTGCCCATCTTAACAGGTGATTACATCTGCTTCTCTGAACTATTAAGGATTGTAAAAAAGCAAAGAAGAAAATGCCATTGTGTTCTTTCCTCACAAGTTTTTGAGAGTTGTTTGGTGTTCTGCCATGCTGGTTTATTTTAGATTGCTGTATTTGCACTTGCTTTATGTATCCTTTGCTCACCCACACAGTGTATGTCCTCCCAGGACTGACAAGAGTTAAGTGGAAGTGACACAGACCTGTGCTTTGCATAGGCAGATGTTGGTGCCTGGGCAAGTTCTTCCTAACCTTCAGCTGTCAGAGCACACACCGGAAACAGTCGTATGGCATGCCCCGCTCTGTAGGTGAGGTGGACTTGAACCAGCAGCCCTAGGGTGCAGCTGGGAGGCCCTGGAGGAGGGGCTCTGTCTCCCACACATGCCTGCAGCTTGCGCTTGTGGAAGCCGTCACAGTTGAGGAAGGAGAGTTGCCTGTGGTGTTGCCTGCCACCAGGTAAATCCTCAGTGAATGCTAACTGGATGTGTTGGGTAAATTACATGGCGATTCAGGCGTGCCCTTCAGGCTCAGAAGTGGCTGATGGTGGGATGGAATGTTGTGGCGTTTAAGTTTGGCTGCTATTTGGGAGGTTGTGTTTTTGAGGTGGAAAGCAAATGATCGTGTTACACAGTGTAGATTTAAACAGGAACTCCAGGCAGTGGTTTTCAATACCAGAGCTTCGGCTCTGTGGTGGAATCCCTCGAGAGTTCTGTGTAATTGATCTGGGGTGCTGCCAGGGCAGTCGTTTTGTGGTTTTTGTTTGGATTTTGTTTTGTTTTTGGAAATGATCTCAAATTTATGGAGTTTGAATTTGGATGATTTTAAAAAGTGTCTGAGTCATTTGAGAATAAACTGCTGACCCACTGCCCTTCACCTGCAGCCCTTCCCACAACCTAGTATAATGTCTTTCTGACAAAGAAGAGCATTCCTGTGGAACTGGAGGGCCTCGTCCCCCGGGAAGGGGTTGGTGGCAGCACTGAGCTACTGCTGCCATTTGCTCTGAGCCCCTCACGGGGGCACTGGCCTTTATGGTGAAAGTGAGCTTGATCAAGTCTCTGGTCTCATTTTGTGTGGCTCAGTGCCTCAGTCTCCACGTGACTTGTGCGCCGCCCTGAAGGCTGCAGAGCTTGGGGACTGCGGACGGCTGGCTTGAGGATGCTCTCAGCAGAGCTCTGCGCACTGTTTCCTCGTGGGGATGACAGTCAGGTTAGACGTGTTTGGAAGGAATGTGGCAGAGGAAGGGCCACCACATCCTGCCAGGTAACTCAGTTTCAATTTGTGCCATTCGTGGCAGTGGCCATGTGCTTATTACGGTAGTATCTGCCCAACTTGCTTGTAGCATTTGTTTTTTCCCTTTATGATTAGCATTTGATTGGAGCTACATTCAAGTCATGAGTATCTATTCCTCATCATTTCCAGTTGATCCATTGGCTTCCTGCTTTCTATGTAGACTGATACTGTCCTGTTTTATGTGATGGCTTGCTGTCTCTTCTGATCGTGCGTTGTGATCATCCTGAGCCGGACTTGGGCTGCAGGAGCCCCTGCAGGCTGTCCTCTGTGCCTGGCTAACATGCCCAGTCATTCTTAACGTTTCCCAATTTTTGGCAAAGAAAAATGATTGGTTGTCTTCTTTTTTTTTTTTTTTTTTTTTGCCTAGCCCTAGAATTAGGTCTTTTTCCAAAGAACTCTGTTTTGGGGGTTTTTTTGTTTGTTTGTTTTTTGTTTAGTTTAGTTTAGTGAGAAGTGATATGTAAAAGCCACAAATCTGGGTGTCCCCTGTGTTTGTTGCTGTCTGAATGCTGCATGTGCTCTAGTCCCTGCAGCAACAGGTCTAGGTACATGTCTACATGAAAGACATAGTTCTGTATGTGTGCAGGCAGGTTGACATCTGTATTCGGTATGATGTCTATCTAATTTATTGAAAGCCACAAGTTTGTGCCAATGACTCATTTAAGTCCAGCCCTTAGAGGGCTCATTTGCATTTTTGACAACTCCCCTTTTCAGCAGTGAGAAACCTGGCTGTCAGCTGTCATCGTGTCCTCACTTCTCCGTCGGTCACCCTGCGTGCCATTGTCCATCAGCTCCAAGGATGCCCCCTTGCTGTGTGGGGGCCGTGATCAGCACAGGCCCAGGAGATTCCCCAGCCCTGACAGAGCACAGCTGCGCCGGAAGCCGCCGGATCCTGTGCGGCTGGATTCGTGGCGGGTTTTTACGTTGGGTTAGCAAAATGCATTCTTTCTAAGGAGGTGAAATTTGAAGAAAAGACTGAACTCTACCAAGATGTGTGGCAAGAGAGAGAGAGAGAGAGAGAGCGAAAGCACAGGCTGTCTCCTGGAAAGCTTTGGAAAATATTTGTTTTGGAATTAAATCCCCTTCTAGTGAGCATAAATTTCAGTTGATTCCTCTGAATTACCTGGTTATAGGAAAAATGTTTAAATGGGTTAGTTATTTTTTAACAATGAGTATCAAGAAAGACTAACTTTTTTTTTGTAATTATCTTTTTTAGACAAATAAACTTTGATTTTAGAATAACTTTAGATTGGGGAAAATGGCAACCTAATGCTTTTCTGAGGCATCAACATTTAAGGAGGAGATCCAGGCTGTGGTTGTTCTTCTCTGTAGTTGATTTCCCTGGAAAATGCGGATGCCAAGTCCCAGCACGGGCATGAGGAACCTTGGGGCCTCCCTTTCCTCCTGAAGCTGGAGGGGGAAAAGACGCTCTCAGAGCTGACGATGGCGGGATCTGCGGCCAGCCACTGCCCGGTGGGCAGCCGCTGCCGCCAGCCTCGGCTTACACGGTCACCCTCTGAGATGATGCGCGTTGTCCGAGAGCTTTCACACTTCGGTGCACACACACGTAGTCTGGCTCCAAGAGACCCAGCGTCAGATGTTAAGGAAAATGCTTCCCATTGATTGTATTTATAAAATGTCCGTGCACGTTACTTCAAGGGTATGAATTTTGCATATTGCACTTTTGTATATTTATGCCCAGAAATGCACAGGGAGAAAGGTTAATATTTATGTATGGATAAAGTCAGTTGACACTTAGCATGTAGCTGAAACAGTAAGTCTTTCTATTTTTATTGGAAAGTCAGATTTACAGGGAGAAGGAAAGAGATCTTTTATCTGACTTATTACCCCAGTAGCCAAGGGCAGAGCCGATCCAAAGCTAGGAAGCGGGAATCTACTCTGAGTCTCCCATGCAGGTGCAGGGTCCCAAGGCTTTGGGCCGTCCTCAACTGCTTTCCCAGGCCACAAGCAGGGAGTTGGATGGGAAGTGCGTCTGTTGGGATACAAACTGGCACCCATATGGAATCCTAGCAAGGACTTTAGCCACTAGGCTACCACACTGGGCCCATAAATCTTACTTTCTATAAATACATGAAGAGCACATATCTGAAATCCCACCTCAGTTTCGGTCCTCAGTTCCTTTTTTTTTTTTTTTTTTCAAACTGAAGGTTTTGAAAAACATCTTCACTTGCCAGATTTAGCTCCTTAAAGAATCATGTTGGTAGTTTTTGCCATGTTTGCATATCTGTTACTTACATAACATTGTTTTTTAGCTTCATTAGCTTGACTTTATTTGAGGCCGTATCTGTAGACTCATACTGTGATGCCCTGGATCTCCTAAAGCAGGGACAGTAGTGCGGGTAGTGGGTTAAACTGCGGCTTGGGACATTGCACAGTCCTTATCACAGTCTGACTGCATTCCTGGTTACTCTGCGCTTCTGATCTGACTTCCTTCGATGTGCCTGAGAGACACCCGATGAAATATTGCCGGAAGCCAATGGAGATTGTCATGTGCAAATCAGGTCTTTTGTTATGTGGAGATACGTCTCTGTGTGTGTGCGCGCGTCTGTTAGGTGGGCAATACGACAGCTCATTTTGATCAGCAACTTGGAGACTAAGCTGAATGTCAAATTTTCCCATGGCGTAGTAAACGAAGGTGAGATTTACTAGATGTGAGTTTTTGTGCATCCTCTGTGCTCGAGTAAAGTTCTGTGTTCTGTTCAGTCACAGGGAGGAATTGTTGCCTCACACACCACACACCACACACCACCTTCCAGGCGTTTACTTGGCTGCAGAACGGACTGTGAAGCTCCCTGTCTAACCTTCTGGTTTAACATTGCTTTAACAGAGAGAAGGAGCAAGAAAGGGAAGAACAGTTAATGGAAGACAAGAAAAGGAAGAAAGAGGATAAAAAGAAAAAAGAAGCCACTCAGAAGGTGAGTTTTAACCGATCGACTCTTTCTGTCTTTGCATCCAGTATGAGTAGATGTCTTGATTTGGATACCTAGCCTCTCGGTGGAACTACTTGAGACGTTATTTAAGAGTTCTAAGATTCAAAATGGGAGAAAGTTCAAGGTCTGCATTTGTTACAGCGTACTAACAGATAGCTATGACCACAGTAAACGGCGTTGTGGACTGGTGCGTTGGCCTAACTGGCTAGTGTTCACCTCTGAGTACAGGCATCCCATATGGATGCCGGTTTCTATTCCAGCTGCTCCACCTCCCGTCCAGCTCTCTGATGGTCTGGGAAAGCAGTGGATGGTGACCCAAAGCCCTGGGACCCTGCACCTGTGAAAGAGACCCAGAGAAAGCTCCTGGCTCCTGGCTTTGGGTCGGCTCAGCTCTGCTCTTGCACTGCTGCTTAGGGAGTGAATCAGTGGATGGAATATCTTTGTCTCTCTGCCTCTCCTCTCTAAATCTGCATTTCTGATGAAGATAAATAACTCTTAAAAAAAACCCAGGCAGTTACCTAACTCTCAACTCTTGTTTTATTTCCATATTTGTATCATAATTGAATCTCCATTTCCTTTCTCTCTTCCTCCCTCCATTTCATCTTCCATTCCTCCTTCGCTCCCTTCCATCCATTGGTTATCACTCCCTTCCTCTCTGTTACCTCCTCTTCCCCCTTCTTTCTGTCCCCTCATTTCCTCTTTTTTAGACTGAGAAAGGCTGGTTTACTCTCCAAATGCCCACAGCAGCCAGAATTGGGCTAGACTAAAGTGAGGCTCCCAGCTGGGACTGCCATATGGGGTGTGGCTTCCCAAATGGCATCTTAACCAGTGTACCAAACGCCTAACAGTCAGTCTCCATTTTATGTTTTTTTTTTTTTTTTGAGTTGTGTTTATTTTATTTGGAAGACAGAGTTACAGTGAAAAATGGCAAGACAGAGCAAAAGAGATGTTCAGTCTGTTGGTTCGCTCCCCAAATGGCTGCAGAGGCAAAGACTGGGCCAGAGCTAAAGCCAGGAGCTTCTAGTAGCCCACGTGGGTGTAGGGCTCCAAACACTTGGACCATCTCCACTAGATCAGAAACAGAGCACGATGTCAACCAGTACCCTTATCCTGCTGTGCTGCAACGCCAGCTCCTCTCTGTCCCTACTTCTTTCTGCAGATCTGCCTTTCAAATAAAAATAGATCTTTAGGAAAAAAAAAATATACAAGTGAGTTGTTATTCTGAGTGTTAAGCTTTAAGATTTCTTGATAAAAATCTTTATACAGGATTTTTTTTTCATTTCCTTAAGCAAGTATATCAATAGCTTTACAGAGCTTAATATCTTGTTGTTCATTTTGACCTATTATTGTTGGTTGTGTGCACCCACCTTTTGGTGATTACATGCAGAAGCCCCCTCAGAGGGAGTTTGATGTACCATGAAGCATTTTCAGAACTGTGACACTACATAGAGAAAATGGAGAGAGACTAAAAGGAAAAAAACCAAAACAACAAAACAGAGGGCTGACAGCTGTCAGTAATCGGGTATCTACTGAGGTACTTTGTTAAGCTGTCTGAGTCTGGAGAGGAATTAGAGGTTGTGCTCTGCCTTCCCTTCCCTGTGGGCTGATGAGGATTCTGGCTCAGCAGGGCTGCCTTTGAACCTTTTGTGAAGGCAGCAAGTTTGCCTCCAGCCTTGGTTGTTGGTTGTTCCCACTGCCCAAACCACTTGGGAAGCAGGGCTGCCTCCCTGGGGGCAGTTGGAGGGTCCCTCGGATAGTGCCAGGAGCTCAGACAGAAGTCTAGATTTAGACTAAGTGCAGTTGACCATGAGCTAAGGTAATACAGGGACCCTGGAAGCATTCCTATTGTAGCATTTCTCATAATTCAGTTTTCAATTAAAAAACTGAAATAGAACATATATTAGTACCAGCATAAGAAGAATCCTGGAAATATAATCTAAATTGCATTAAATATTACCCTGCCATCTTAAACACAGCACACAATTTTACCTTTTCTTCATGGCTTAGTTAAAAGGAAAATTCTTTAGCATTTGGTGCTGTTGTGTTAGGATATCCGTTTCCCTTGTGTGTGTGTGGTAATGGTGGCGTGTTCCTCAGCAAATCTCAGGCTGTCCCTGTTCCTCACCCACCTGCAGTTTTCCAGAAGCCAGATACAACCTGGAAGTTTTATTTTACTGTTTTACTTCTTGAGGTTTCACAGCCAAGTTCTTTGTCTTCAAGGCTGCACTATGCAGGTCTGCCAGCCATGGGGCATTGGTGGCCTTGCACTGTGACCTCTGAATTCCCGTCCCTGTGCCCTACATGCTCTGAATTCCCCACGTGGAGTGGCCTGAGATTGAACCTCAGTGAAAACTTTCTTTCCTCAGGACACTCAGATTCATCTGTTAGGTTAGTACAGACACTGGATTTTGCAGTCTGGAATAGGATGGCAGCAAAGACAGCTGATGAGGGTGAGGAACGGAGCGACCACTGCAGACCCTGTAGATTGCACTTTAATATAGATAACAGTGGTTTCTTTTAACTTGAAAAAAATGTTTAAGCATCGATGTAAAAGAGAAACAGAAGGAGAGCTCTTCCGTCCCCTCATTGATTCCCTCGCTCCCCCCAATGCCCACCAGAGCCCAAGCTGAACCCGGCCTCAGCCAGGAGCCTGCACTTCATCTCGAGCAGTGATCTGCTGCCTCCAGGGTGCATTAGTGGGTATGGGACTGGAGAGTAGGGCCCGGACTCAGACCCAGACACTGTGTTCAACTAAAAATATCAGTATCTGGAAGTAGTTAATAAAATATGTATCAGTAGGCGCTGCTGTTGTGGTACAGCACATCAGGCTGTTGCCCGCAGTGCTGGAGTCGCAGAGTGGAGAGCTGTTTCAAGTTTAGCTGCTCAGCTTCTGGTCCAGTTCCTTGCTGATATGTCTAGAAGGCAAGGGAAGAGGCCCAAGTACTTGGATCCCTGCCACCCATGTGGTTGACCTGGGCGGAGTTCCTGGCTCCTGCCTTTGGCTTGGCCCATCCCCAACTACTAGAGTCATTTGGGAAGTGAAGCAGGAGATGGGAGATCTTTCTCTTTCTGCCTCTCCTTCTCTCTCTGTCTCGCTTACTTTGAAATAAACATTAAAGATGTGTTTATATACACACAGAAAGACATACGTATTTGTAAACTTACTGTAGACTCTTCTGATAGAAAAGTGATTTAAAATGAAGGATGGTGTGCCTGTATTCAGGATCGAGTAAGAGTGTTTGTGTGGGGAGAGTGGCTTATGCAGCCGGCAGTCCCTGTGTGCTTGCATCTGCATGAAACACTGATCAAGTGATCAGAAAAGAGAAAAGTTGCCGTAAGTAAAATCATTATAAACAAACAGACAAAATCAGCCGGTTTTTGCTCAGAAATGTTCTACATCAGCTGACGTAGTCTAGGCTGAGGCGTGACCTTTGACATCCTTTTTCTTTATACTGAATCATTGCCGGATTTCAGAATTAATTTCAATTGAGCAGTTTTAAGGAGCAAGCAGAAAGCTTGCCACGTGCTTATCTCAGTGGTTGTGGAGATAGTGCTTCAGCTGAGAGGCACGGAGTGTGCTATCATGCAAAGAAAGCCGGCAATGTGCCAGATGTTCTATTATATGGTCTTCCCGTCAGTCAGCAGACATTTCTGAGGTCCCTTCTGGGTGCTGCAGCATCTTCTGCACTGCTTACGCTGTCACTTCATAACCGGCTGCCTTCCTCAAAGACAAGTTTCTCAAGGTTTTAATCATATTTATGTGGGAAGTGCCTGGTACTAAGCAGTCAAAAAATGTTTGTTTAATAACTGAATAATGAAGAGTAAGGGATGATGATGCAGCTTTCTGGAAGAGTGGAGTGTTATTTAAAGCTAAAATTAAATTACTTCCACACGAAAATTAAGCATGCACTTTTCCTGTGTTCCATGGCGACGGTGGTTTCTAGAGCCATCTTTAAATCGACTCTCAGGATTCCATTCCTGAGAAAAGGTGTCAGCGCGAGATTCTTTGCACCTCCAGGAGGCTGGTGCTGCCATGGGAGCATTGCTTGGTGTCAGCTGTGACCATCCAGGAGACACTGTAAAGAGCCCACAGTGTAAAACATTTTTTAAAGATTTATTTACTTATTTATTTTATTGGAAAGTCAGATTTGTGGAGAGAAGCAGATACAGAGAGAAAGATCATTTATCCGCTGGTTCACTCCCCAGTAGCGCAACGGCCAGAGCTGAGCCAAAGTGAAGCCACAAGTCTCTTCTGGGTCTCCCACGCGCATGCAGGGTCCCAAGGCTTTGGGCTGTCCTCAGCTGTTTTCCCAGGCCACAAGCAGGGAGCTGGATGGGAAGGGAAGTGGAGCAATTAGAACCTGTGCACATAGAGGATCTCGGCGCATGCAAGGCAAGGACTTTAGCCACTAGCCTATCGCACTGGGCCCCTAGAACATACTTGATGTGATTTGGTTTCATTGCTTATAAGCAAGGAAAAGCAGTGACTTCCATGTAGCTGCCCTTCAAAATGGCATTCTAAAAACGTTAGCAGTGGGACAAAACCTGAATTACCTTGTGGAACTAGGGTGTGGACACAAATGCATTTTATTCTTTGCCAAGTGGGGTTCTAGAAGAATGATGCTTGAGTATTTTGGTAGAATAACAACTGGTAGCAATTAGTACCAGGAAACATATTCATTCTGAGATATAATGAGTTCCACAAATTCAGCACAGCTCTGTAGTACCAGAATGGCGAGCACCCCAGGAGGTCCTACAAGTGGATTATGAACTCGGTTTCAGATCGCTGCAGTACTGTGCTGGAATCCTCAGCAAGGCCGGCTGGTGGACTGTAGGATATGGCCTCCAAAATGACCACTAACCAACCTGCCTTGACTGCCAGCCTCAGGCAACCAGATCACTTCTCTTGAAGAGGCTTGTGCTATTCATTTTAAAACTTAGAACAGTTATGTACAAGTCAGATTACTAATCTAAAAACTGCTTCAGATGATTAACACCTGGGAAAAGTGGGTCAGAGTCATCCACATCTCAATGATGACATGCAGTTGCTGCTGGCATTCTGGCATGTTTGTTCTTGGATGTTTTCCTGTGTCTGGCCTCTCAGGTTTGTGTGTAAGTTACAGGGTGTGTGGCTCCCGAATTCACTTCCCAAATTCTGAAAGGCCATTGTTGTATCCAGCCTGATAACCTGTTAAATATCATGTAGACATGTTATGTGCCGTGGAAAGAGCTCTGAGCAAAGTAGTCTTTGCTGGAGATTTACCTATGTCCGTGTTGGTGCTGTACCTCATCTATTCTGCATTAACTTTGACAACAGCAGTAACATGTATTGAGCCTTAGCAGGCAGTGTGTATGGTTTAGTTCTTAACACTACCTTGCAGGCCCGTGGTGTTGCTTTGGCCAGTCAGCAGATGCCAGAAAAGTGAGGCCACACCATCAGGAAGAGACCTTCCTGCCAGGGCCTCTCCCGCCTCTTGGGATAGGCCCCTGAGGTTTTGCTTTTAATTTTTAGGTCACGGGTTTGAGTCTGTACTTACAGGGGAAATTTTTTTTTTTTTGGCCTGTTTATTTCAGTGGTTAATTTGGTTTCTGAACCACATCCACTTGATTTTCTCTACTCAAAGAATCAGCTAGTGAGCACCATTCCCAGTGCAGGACCTTATCACTTAAAGGAGCGTAAAATGCTTTAAAACACGTTTTGTTGTTACACTTCTCCCCAGCAGTATGGCTACACTCCTGACAAGGATGTTGGACACCTTGCTACATTTTCTGCGTTTTCACTAATACTGCATATCTGACAGCTTCAGTCATTTATCATAAGAGTTTTCGAATGTAGGTACTGTATACAGAGAACATCTCATTTACCTATGTCTATTTATTTTGCAGGTCACGGAACAAAAAACCAAAGGTAAATTTTTCTCCACCTTTACGACTCCCTAGATTCTTTTGTGTTTAGATTTGATCCTGTTGCTGCCCCAGTCCTGAGCCCACTGCACTGGAGTGTTGTGGAGTAGTGAAGCTGGGCTCTTTGCAGTTGCTGAAGAGCTGTAGTGACCCAAGTACTTGGATTAGTGTTTTCTAGTTGGCCGTGACTTTTTGTAGAAGACAGGAGAAAAGCACTTCCTTTTCTTTTTTTTTTTAAAGATTTATTTTTGTTATTTTTTTTTATTGGAAAGGCGGATATACAGAGAGGAGAGACAGAGAGGAAGATCTTCTGTCCGATGATTCACTCCCCAAGTGAGCCACAACGGCCGATACTATGCCGATCCGAAGCCAGGAGCTTCTTCTGGGTCTCCCACATGGGTGCAGGGTCCCAAAGCTTTGGGCTGTCCTCTGCTGCTTTCCCGGGCCACAGGCAGCTGGAAGGGAAGCGGGGCTGCCGGGATTAGAACCGGCGCCCATATGGGATCCCAGGCGTGCAAGGCGAGGACCTTAACCACTTGCGCCACTGCGCCGGGCCCAGCACTTCCTTTTTAAAGTGTATTGGACCATGATTTTGAACTTACCCTTCTTGGGCCTCGTCTTAAAAACAGTAACAGAGCCAGGACACCAACCTCAGAGTTATGGATGGGACCTGCAGACAGCTTTAAGCCAGCTGGGACCCTGCGTGTTTTGAAAGTAAAAGTGATGTGACATTTAGAATGTGTGTTTGGAGCCCAGCTAGCTTTTTTTTTTTAAAGATTTGTTTTTATTGGAAAGTCAGATATACAGAGAGGAGGAGAGACAGAAAGATCTTCCATCTGCTGACTCACTCCCCAGTTGGCTGCAACAACTGAAGCTGAGTTGATCGAAGCCAGGAGCTTCTTCAGGTCTCCTACATAGGTGCAGGGTCCCAAGGCTTTGGGCCGTCCTCGACTGCTTTCCCAGGTCACAAGCAGGGGGCGGGATGGGAAGTGGGGCTGCTGGAGCTTGAACTGGTGCCCCATATGGGATCCCAATGCGTGCGGGGCGAGGACTTTAGTCATGGGCTACTGTACCATGCATACCCCCCCTTTTTTTTTTAAGATTCTACATTTTGAACCAGTTGATTCTGTTACAAAACAGGGATAATGTTGAAAAGAGAAACTAGTGCCTCCAAGGTCATTGTCAACATGGTAGTAGATATCTTTTTTAATTCTTTGCCTCCTGATACATTTTGGTGACATGGTTATGTGTGGTGGTAATGCTTTTAGTCAGTTTATCTTAGTTTCTTAAGTGCTCCTGTGCTTACCTAGCTAAATATGTGCTTCTTAGTCAAGTATGCATTAGAGTTGTCAGAATCCAGAAAGCCAGGCCTCCCTCCTGCCATGGCCTTGGCTGATGAAAAATTATACAGGTGACCCTTGTATGTGGGAATCCTGGAAGAGGATCAGTACAGTGGCTGGGAGGCTCAATATTTTATTAGGTTCCATTAATTTCATTAGCTAGTGAGAAGAATGTTGTCTCCCCTTTACACATTCAGCTGGTTCCCAACTTAGCGATGGCCTTTATTTTGAAAGCGCCTTTGTAAATTACTTGTCTGAAGTACAAATTACTCTTTACCATGGCATTAGCCATAGTGCTGCAGCTTCCATGCCTTCTGGACCTGCCACCAGGAAGGAGCCAACACATGAGGATTCATATTACCGGGATGCTGATGGTTTATGGGCCAGCAGATAAGAAGCTGGCCTTTGCCTGGACATCTCTGCCTCTGAGGCTGCAGCAGCGTGGTGGGAGGGACCCTAGGCCCTGCCTCAAGCTAAGTGCTGCTGAGGCCAAGCCCTGGTATGCCGCAGTCAGTCTGCCCTGTCTGAGATGTGATGTCTGTCACGAAGCCGAGAACCCATTAGACCTTTGTTCTGTTCTCTCGCTCAGTTATTTTAAACCTGGTTTGTTCCTAGATGCATTGCTCTTTTTTCTGGCAAAGTCTTAATGTAAGACTTGACTTTTACTCACTACTGAATTTTGCTTCTCATAATTCTTTCCCAACGTCGGTGCTGAATTGTGTTCTGGCTGCTCTATTTCACATCCAGTTCCCTGCTTATGGATTGGGAAGGTAATGAGGATGGCCCCAATCCTTGGGACCCTGCACCCACAGGGAGATCTGGAAGAGCCCCCGGCTTCAGATCAGCTCGGCACTGGTTGTTCTGACCATTTGGCTCATTTGTCTTTCTGGGGTCATAGAAAGCATCACTGAACAGAACACGCACAGACTTTACCAAGGGGTCAGTAAGTCCAGGACACCAGAGCCTTTCAACTATTTTTTTAAAAATTGTATTTTATTGGAAAGGCAGATTTACAGAGAGAAAGATCTTCCAACTGCTGATTTACCCCCTAGATGATTGCAATGGCTATGTCTAGGGCACACTGGAACCAAGAGCCTAGAATTTCACCCAGGTCTTCCATGTGGCCAAGGCACATCTTCATTTGCTTTTCCCAGACCATCAGCAGGCAGCTGGATTGGAAACGGAGCAGCCAGGACACAAACTGACAATTATATGGCATGCCAGAATCTCAAATCTGCGTTAATTTGTAAGGCTGCAACACTGGCCTCAGCCTTTCCTTTGGAGCCTGTTCCTACAGGAATATTGCAGCGAGAGAGTTGTTATGGTTGGGATACTTTGAGTGTACTCCAGTTTACTGATACTAGATATTTTCCCAATCAAGTAACTTAAAACAACGTTGTTTGTAACATTCCTCACACCCTGTAAAAACAACTGTATGTTGTAACATTGGTGGAGAACCGCTTGTTTGCAGGGGAACTGGCTGCCTCTAAGAATGAGTGATTATGTAGCTCAGATAAGTGGACAAAATAATAACTGCACGTGGGAGGGAAGGGGGACTTGAACCTGGTCCGAAGCAGTGGTGGTACGCAGGCAGGAATGAGTGGGAAACCTGCATTAGTTCAGCATATTGCTAATTGAATAATGGTGTGGTAGCAGAAATTGAGAAAAATTCTGACTCAAACAGCTGGTTGAATAACAGTTTCCATTCATTGGGATGGAAGAGCATGGGATTTCTGGGCTAGAGAACAAGGTAAAAACAAAGGGTGAAAGAGAGCTGAGTTGGAGGTAATGATTTAGGAACTTAAGCCCAGCATGAGAACAGTACTCCAGTAACTATTGGTGAAGCTGCAGCTCCACTTTGACATTGATGTGTGCTTAAAAGACACGCCACATAGCCCAATTCAGCTGTGGAACATGCAAAATTGCAGTTTTCATCTGTGACAAAGGGAATAGTCAAAGAAGCAGAGGTGGCTAACTGTGACTAAGGACCAGATCACTACTCACCCATCAACTAAGAATGGCTTTGTTTTGTTTTGGTTTTTTTTTATTTGCTTATTTGAGAGGCTGAGCATTCCCACCTGGTGGTTCACTCCTCACATATCTGCAGTGGGATGGGCTGGTCCAAAATCCAGCAGTGGAAACTCAGTCCTGGTCTTCCATAGGGAGGACAAGAGCCCAGTTGCTGGAGCCAGAGACAGGAAGTGAACCCAAGAGCTCCAGCTAAGGATGCAGCATCTTAACCAGTATCTGGACCACTGGCTGAATCCCCATCCATGCATCTTTTAATTACTGGAAAAGATGGGAAGCAGAATGTTCAGTTGCATGTGGAAGTGGCGTGCAATTGCTGTTTCCTTGTCTGAAGCACAGCCATGGGTATTTGTTCATACAGTGTGTATGGCTGCTTTTGCCCTACAGATACTGAATGGTGACAAAGACCTTACAGCTAGTTAAACCTACAGCATTTACCAGCTGGCTCTTTGCAGAAAAGGTTTGCTTATCTCAGACTGTGAGTGTGAGACACCACATTGGGAGAGACAAGAAGAGCCGAAGAGGTCACTGGTGGAACTGGTGTCAGCAGGAGTGCCTAGCAGTGTCCAAGGCCACAGGAGAGGCCCAATGAGTGCGCCTAGACTGGCAGCTCTGATGAGAGGAGAAGCCTGCGGTGAGGTGCTCAGGGCACAATCTATGGAGCTACTTGAGGAGTCACTGGGAGTGAGGAAGTGAGACCATGCTTAAGTTACTGTAAGTAGTGGGATACACATCAGCCACTATGTCATCAGTGTGAAATTAAAGGTTTTCCATCTGGCCTTGCTTGATTTTAGCTGCTGCTTTACAAGTGTTTCTAAGAGCAGTTCAGATGCTAGCGAGGACGCCCATGTCTCATGTCAGAGTGCCTGGGTGGTGCAGTGCTGCTGTCCAGGTCCTGGCAGGCAGCAGTGATGGCTCAAGTGCTTGGGCTCCTGCCTCCCAGCGGGGAGACCTGGATTGAGCTCCTGGCTCTGGCTTTGGCCTGCTTGGCCCCATTCATTGTGTCATTTAGGAAGCAGTCAGTGGATGCAAGAGCTTGTGCTGGTAGGCTCCCCATCCGCCTCTCCACACACACACTGCTCTCAAATAAATAAATGAAAATGAAACATTGAATTTCTAATTTTTTACATGTCTAGCATCATTGCAGTAGTCACAGGAAATAGTTTGTAGTAGTCCAGTGCAGTTGTTGGGGTTGCTGTGCAAGTACACACAAAAAACTGGAAAGCCTGCCTGTCTCAGAAGTTAGAGTATTTTTATCTGAAAATGTAGCATCTTATTGACGATCTCCAGAAATGCCCCCACAGTGGGAGAATGCTGTAAGGTGAAGGAAGCAGGGAAGGAGAGATAATTTGGTCATTAAAAGTACATTATAGAGAATGTAATTCATTTCAAAAGCAAATGAATGGAAATTAGAAATAGGATACCAGTGTTTTTGAGGTGGTTTTTTTCCCCCTATGATAACTGAGACCATGGTTACGCCACACTCTCTTTTTTTAAAGATTCATTTATTATTTGAAAGTCACGGCCACAACTGGATCAGGCCAGAGCCAGCAGCCGAGAGCTTCTTTTGGGTCTCCCACGTGGGTGGTCATGGTCCAAGGACTTGGGCCACCTTCGCTGCTTTCCCGAGACAGCCAGCAGGGAGCTGGATCAAGTGGAGCAGCACCTGCTTTGTATGCTACAGGGCCTGCTCCAAACCACCAACTTTTGCTCTGGAAAACCAGAGCTAAGCAGCTCATGTTTAGTAATATCTACACCATAACCTCCAATGTTCACATTCAGGAAAGAGAGAGGTTAAGAACTAACGCTTTCAGTGTGAACAGTCATCTCTCTCTCTCTCTTGTTATCTCCCGTTCTGGAGCCTGAAGAGGCCGCATCCTGATTCTGAGATTTCATGATTAACCTTTGGAATCAGGTTGTATTTGGCCTCCAGCCTAATGGGTGTCTCTCTAGTTGGTGTCTAGGATTCCGGTTGGACTTTCAGTGCTTCCAGTTCTTGGCTTCACAGAAAGACATCATGAAAAAATAGAATAAGGATTCATTCAGGTTCAGAAGCACCATCTGCTTAAAACTGACCTGGTCCCACAGACCTCTTCTGACTATTCCCTGGGATTTTGAATGGCGTGTCTGCAGAGTGAGTTCCATATTAGAAGGAAGGAAGCAGTGGAGATGTGTTCCCATCTTTTTATGGCTTCATAATCTGCAACCCTGATGGGATGATGAGAGTGCCCTGAGGAGCTTTGGCAAGGAACATTGCATCATGGCTGGTGACCACCTGCTACCCTTGGTTGCAGAAGTGCCAGGAATGCTGTACAGTCAGCCTCCAGCCTTAAAGACTCTTTGGGCTTTAGAAAAACAAGGAAAGGCCTCGAGAGAAGGAGATAGGAGATACTGTGTGCTGTTAGCTCTTCTGGGATCACACAAAAGCTAATCATTCATTTACCAGTTATTTTTCCGTTGGCCGTTATAAGTCACACAGCGGACACTACGTGACTTTCCATCAGTAGCTGATGTTAGTGCTTGTCACGTGATGGACCCTGTGCACACTGGCTGAGGTGGGACCTGGGGCTTCCTGGGAGTCACTTAGCACCTGTCACTTAGTCCCAGAACGCACAGTACTCGCTGATGTTCAGTGAACCCTGGTTCCTCATGTCACATCCCTCAGACAGGCGGCGTGTAGGTACAGCCCCCCCTTTGAACCCAAAGCTGCCCTGGCCCTGGACAGAAGGGGTGGACTTGGGAGTCAGCAGGCTCATGGATTGTATCTGTAAAGTTTCTTCACCTTGCAGATTTTCTCAGAAACACTGGTCAGGTCTCAAGACTAAAAAATAAATTAAATAGACAAGGTGTCTAGATTTGTTTTAAATAAAGAGCTGACAGCCTCGCTCTCCTTTCTTAAAAAGATATTTTTTATTATTATTTGAAAGATCTTACAGAGAGAGAAGGAGAGATAGGAAGAGAGATCTTCCATTCACTGGTTCATTCCCCAAGTGGCCACGAAGGCCAAAGCAGAGTTGTTTCAGAGCTGGGAAGTAGCAGTTTTTTCCAGGTCTCCCACATGAGTACAGGGTTGCAAGGACTTGGACCATCCTCTGCTGCTTTCCCAAGCTATAAGCAGGGAACTGGATGGGAAGTGGAGCAGCCAGGACAGGAGCCAGTGTCCATGTGAGTATACCAATGCTACAAGGCAGAGAATAAGCGTGCTGCACCACTATACCGATTCTGATAAACCTTTTTTTTTTTTCTTTTAAGCTTTATTATATTTTATTGGAAAGTCAGATATGTAGATAGGAGAAGAGACAGAGAGGAAGATCTTCTGTCCATTGATTTACTCCCCAAGCAGCCACAACAGCCAGAGCTGTGCCGATCCAAAGCCAGGAGCCCAGAGTTTCTTCCGGGTCTCCCAAGTGCGAGCAAGGTTCCAAGGCTTTGGGCTGTCCTTGACTGCTTTTCCAGGCCACAAGCAGGAAGCTGGATGGAAAATGGAGCTGCCGGAATTGGAACCGGAGCCCGTATGGGATCCCAGCATGTGCAAGGCAAGGATTTTAGCTGCTAGGCTACTGCACCTGGGCCAAACACTTTTTCTTTAGAAATAAATGAATAAATGATTAAATAAAGGCAAAAAAGATGTACAAATTTTCTGATAGACAGTGGGCCAATGAAGTCTGTGAGTTTCAGGTAGCTTTAAAATCCGAAACCAGGTAGAGCTCTGTGATTCTATAGGCCTGCACTCTTGTTAGGGTGGCCTTGTCTGAACCCTAGGAATAAAGAGGTTGGAGAGTGGATCCCTGCCCCCTGAGAGACGGTGGGAGGAGGCGGGGAGGGCCTTTGGCAGGGAACTAGAGTGTGAAAGTTTGTGGTGGGCTGAGATGGACGGCAGGTCCGAGGGCTGCAGGAAAGAGTTCACTGAGTTAGCTTCTGTGAGAATGTAGTTGAGGGAAGGGGCCATTGACCTAGAGGCCCGGCCTGGTCAGGAAGGGCTTTGCTGGAGAGGTTTGTGCCCCCAGGCAGCCCTCCTGACCCTGCCACTTGCTGTTGGTGGGTGCTGTTGGAGCTGCTTCCCTCCGCTCAAGAGTGGGATGCAGTCCTCGTCTTGCTGGCTCTGAGCCTCGGTCACCTCCACCCCAGCCTTCAGTCAGCTGCAGGTGCTGCAGGAATTGAGCCAGCGATATCCCTGGACATGGAGGCTCCTTAGAATGGATCTCATGTAACTTTTCTTAACGATGATCTTGAGAAAACTGGGTCTCATTTCCCAACCTCTTTCTTTCAGTGCCCGAAGTGACGAAACCAAGTCTAAGCCAACCAACGGCCGCCAGCCCGATTGGCAGCTCCCCATCGCCACCAGTCAGTGGTGGCAACAATGCCAAAAGGGTGGCAGTGCCGAACGGACAACCGCCAAGCGCCGCCCGCTACATGCCTCGGGAGGTGCCGCCGCGATTCCGTTGCCAGCAGGACCACAAAGTGTTACTGAAGCGTGGGCAGCCCCCTCCGCCGTCCTGCATGCTCCTGGGGGGCGGGGCAGGGCCTCCTCCCTGCACAGCACCTGGAGCAAACCCAAACAACGCACAAGTGACAGGGACGCTGCTGCAGAGCGAGAGTGGGACTGCGTCAGGTGAGGCGCTGGTTGTGGCCGGTTCTGGGCATTTGGAGGAAGCAGGGGCTTCTTTGCCTCCGCACATGGGCAGTTGACTGAGGGTGCCTGTTAGAGTCAAGGAGGGCGGCTTTCAGAGTGCGCCTTGGAGTCCTGTGCCCTGGACACAGGCTGGCGCAGCTGCTGCTGGCCTGTACTCCGTGGATGCCCCTTCCTCTTCTGGACGAGGCATTCACAGTCCGAGCTCCCGCTGTTCCATTCGCAACACGAGCGTGTCTTCAGGGACTTGCGTGGAGTAACATTCCAGCTCAGCACTCAGGTTTGCCGAGCACCGAGTGAGGACAGAGTGACTTGTTGGGTCACAGTGCCGGCCTAAGCAAACCACGCCCCCTTCTGCAGTTTTTATTGTTTTTTTTAAATGTTCTTCTTTCAAAAGCCCTGGATCTTGAGCTCCGTTAAGCACTGTTGTGTAGCTCTGAGCCATCTTTTGCCACAGTGCTCTGTGAGTAGTTTTGAGGGCTTGGGTAAGTGTCAACCCACATCCAAGAACTTCAAATATCTCTTTCCTTTTTACGGTTATTAACAGATAACAGCTTATCTCTTAAGATGTCTTTGAAAACTATATTAAAATTGAGAGCTTGAGCAGTCAAGCATTGGCAAGGACAATTTATTGATGGCCTGAATTTGAACAAAGAATACACTGAGTTTGAACAAAGAATTGCCTAGACAACTCTGTCAGTTTTTGATTGCGTGCAGTGAGGATGAAGGGGAACCTTACGATGACAGAGGCATCGTGCCTCTGAGGTTGGCCAGAGCAGATTGAGGAGGGCCTGGCAAATAGCCCTGGAAAGTGCTGACCCCTTGTGTGAGGAGCAGTCTTGTTGGGCACTTCCGCAGTCTGGTGTAGCCAGGCCTTGATGAAGACATAGGATAGAGCCACTCAGTTGCTTATTGACATTGCTAAAAGCAAAGGAGACCTCTATATCCCAAGAGTACGGAAATCTGAGCTTCCTTGTCTTCATCCCACTCTGTGTGATGCTTTTTCAGCTTCACACTGATGTCAAGCTGCTTGAGTAAGAAGCTACAATAAGTTTAAGATGTTCTTTCTTCCCACCACATATAGTAAATAGCAGAGTAGCTGCTGAGTTAGGTTAATTTATCTGATTAAGTTCCTAGGCTTTAGGAGCCCTGTCAGATTCATGCCCATGTATCTCCTGCATCTCACTCAGTGAGCACACAGCAGGTGTTTCCTGGACACGTCACACTGACTACTCTGCGCACCTTAAACACTAGCAAAATAGAGTCTGCCAGAAAGGCAGCTCAAGTGGGAAAGGAAAGGTGTGGATACAGTGCATTAAGCACAGTCATTCAGGACAGAGAGAGATTATTTTCAGATGCTGAGCTCAAAAACAGCCTCTTAGGGAAAAATAACTCAAGAGAGATAGGTCAGTGTCACTGTGTGAATTCAGGAGGAGAAAGTAGATGCCAGCACAGAATGGTGTTGGGTGAAAAGACCCAAGCTGTGGAATGACAAGTGACATGGACCGTGAGCTTCATGTAAAGTCAGGGATGACGAGACTAGAAAGGTTGGTTGGCCCATGTCACGGGTCGTCTTGACAAAGCTCCAGGCCAAGGTGTGAATTCTGTTCTAAGAAACTAATGAAGGCTCTCCATACGGCAGTGGTAGGAAGGCGTACCCTAGAAGCATTATTCCAGCCACAAGTACTCAGACTGTAGATGAGGAGTAAATCTAGGTAGACACAAGAAGGCCCTCTTCCCCCAAGCAATGGCAAGGAGACTGCTCTGAGAGCTGTCCGAGTCTATCTTAACAGATAGGAGACTGGACAGATGCGAGAGAGGACATGACCTAGACAGTTGTGATACTGACACAGTCTGTCAAGACAGGCAGCCGAGTACAGGGAAAGGGGACTAGCTCCCCTTGGCACAGTGTGAACTCCAGGGATTGATGAGAAATGCTCGTGAAGCTGTGACTGATGAGGTGCTCTCTTTCCCAGAGTCAACCCTTGGAGGTGCTGCTGCTTCAAATTATGCAAATCCCACTTGGGGCCCTGGAGCCTCCTCCAACAACGGCGCCTCCCCCAACCCAATTCACGCCTGGGACAAGGTGATTGTAGACGGGTCTAACATGGAAGAGTGGCCTTGTATTGCCAGCAAAGACACTGAATCTTCTTCCGAAAATACCACCGATAACAACAGTGCCTCTAACCCTGGCTCTGAGAAGAGCACTCTGCCAGGAAGCACCACTAATAACAAAGGCAAAGGGAGCCAGTGCCAGTCTGCAAGTTCCGGGAACGAATGTAACCTTGGGGTCTGGAAGTCTGACCCCAAGGCTAAATCTGCTCAACCGTCCACCTCTACTGCGGAGAGCAATGGTGGGCTAGGGAATTGGAGGAATGCAAGTGGTCAGGATAGAATTGGACCTGGCTCTGGTTTCAGCAACTTTAACCCAAATAGCAACCCATCTGCCTGGCCAGCACTGGTCCAAGAAGGAACTTCTAGGAAAGGGGCATTGGAAACGGACACAAGTAATTCCAGTGCACAGGTTAGCACAGTGGGTCAGGCATCCAGGGAACAGCAGTCAAAGATGGAAAATGCGGGTGTGAACTTTGTTGTCTCTGGCAGAGAACAGGCTCAAATTCATAACACTGATGGACCAAAAAATGGAAACACTAACTCCTTGAACTTAAGTTCACCAAACCCCATGGAGAGTAAGGGAATGTCCTTTGGAATGGGCTTGGGGAACACCTCCAGGAGCACTGATGCCCCTTCACAAAGCACTGGAGAGCGAAAGGCTGGGAGTGTTGGATCCTGGGGTGCAGCTAGGGGGCCTTCTGGAACTGACACAGTCTCTGGACAAAGCAATTCTGGAAACAATGGGAACAATGGAAAAGATAGAGAGGACTCCTGGAAAGGAGCTCCTGTTCAGAAATCATCTGGGTCAAAAAATGACTCCTGGGACAACAGTAACAGGTCTACGGGTGGGTCCTGGAACTTTGGCCCTCAGGACTCTAATGACAACAAGTGGGGTGAAGGGAACAAAATGGCATCCGGGGTCTCTCAGGGAGAATGGAAACAGCCGACTGGGTCTGAGGAATTGAAAATTGGAGAATGGAGTGGTCCAAACCAACCAAATTCTAGCACTGGAGCATGGGACAATCAAAAGGGCCACCCCCTCCCTGAAAACCAAGGCAATGCCCAGGCTCCCTGTTGGGGAAGATCTTCCAGCTCCACGGGAAGTGAAGTTGGAGGTCAGAGCACTGGAAGCAACCACAGAGCAGGAAGTAGTGACAGTCATAACTCTGGCCGTCGGTCGTACCGGCCCACACATCCTGATTGTCAGGCTGTCTTGCAGACTCTTTTGAGCCGAACTGATTTGGACCCCAGGGTGCTCTCAAACACTGGCTGGGGCCAGACTCAAATTAAGCAGGACACAGTGTGGGATATTGAAGAGGTGCCAAGGCCCGAGGGGAAATCTGACAAAGGAACTGAGGGGTGGGAGAGCGCTGCCACACAGACCAAGAACTCAGGGGGCTGGGGAGACGCACCCAGCCAAAGCAATCAAATGAAGTCTGGATGGGGGGAGCTCTCAGGCCCCGCAGAGTGGAAAGACCCCAAGAACACAGGAGGCTGGAATGACTACAAGAACAACAATTCTTCCAGCTGGGGAGGAGGCCGGCCAGATGAGAAGACACCTTCCTCCTGGAATGACAACTCCAGCAAGGATCAAGGGTGGGGAGGAGGGCGCCAGCCTAATCAAGGATGGGCCTCGGGAAAGAATGGCTGGGGAGAGGAAGCTGATCAAGCAAAAAACAGCAATTGGGAAAGTTCCGCAAGTAAGCCTGTGTCCGGGTGGGGCGAAGGAGGGCAGAATGAAATCGGAACATGGGGTAATGGTGGGAATGCAAGCCTTGCTTCCAAAGGTGGCTGGGAGGATTGCAAAAGGTCACCGGCTTGGAATGAGACCGGCAGGCAGCCCAGTTCCTGGAATAAACAGCACCAACAGCAGCAGCAGCCACAGCAGCAGCCACCGCCACCACAGCCAGAGGCCTCGAGCTCCTGGGGAGGCCCACCCGCACCACCCCCAGGCAACATCCGACCCTCCAGCTCGAGCTGGGGCAGTGGGCCGCAGCCCACGACCCCGAAGGATGAGGAGCCCAGCGGCTGGGAGGAGCCCTCCCCACAGTCCATCAGTCGGAAGATGGACATTGATGATGGCACCTCCGCCTGGGGTGACCCCAACAGTTACAACTACAAGAATGTGAATCTGTGGGATAAGAATTCCCAGGGAGGCCCTGCACCTCGCGAGCCAAACCTGCCCACCCCAATGACCAATAAATCAGCATCAGGTAAGCAGTGGCGTGTTCTCAGCAGGTTTTGATGAAGGAAAGAAACCTAGACCCAGGAGTCTTTATAAAGGTGCAGTTACTCAGTGTTGCTGACAGAACCTGTGTCAAACACTCGTGTTATTGCCTGGCCAAAGAAAAAGGTGGCAATCTCATGTTAATCCCCCAGGTTGTATTATCCTGCATCTTGCTAAACAAACTGTGCTTTGGGTTTTAGAATCATGAGCTAGAGCAGCGCCTAGTCTGTGTGGCAGATTGGGATTTCCACCTGAATTCGCTCCATGGGCGCCTTTGCTGTGCTTCTCTGTGCCCGGCAAAGGCAGCTGCCATCAGCGTTGCAGTGCTGTGACTAGGCTGGGCTTCCAAGGTTTTCATCTGCTTTCAGGTTGGTGCAGGAGCAGGGCACGTCATTAGCTTTGTTGTGTAATCGTCTGCTCAGACTCGGACTGTTTCAACAGGCAGGATCCTAACCCATGAGTTAAGCACGGCAATAGGAAAGCCCTTCTTATTTTGGGATGAATTATCCTTGACTTGAGTGTCCACAGTAAGAGCAACAAATCAAGAGATACCCCATAGGAGTCATTTGTAATTAAAGTTATTTGAAACATTAATGATCAGTTTTCCAGTCCTTAAATTAAGTCTAGTGTTCAATGAATTTGCTTAAGGCCACGTAGAAAATGATTGTCTTTAAACAGGGTGTAGTTGTTTTTTTCTAGTGTTGAAAAGAGTGAGGAAGGAAGTGAAGACTGTCCATTAACTCTGTGCAGAACAAAACCCACTGACATTCAAGCAAAGTTACGTTCATGTAGTTAAAACCTCCCAGCTGTTCAAAAAAGCAAAGAATCCGATTCCCCATAGAAAATCTCAGAAGTTTGTGTTGCTCTCAGAAATCTTGTTCATGCCTACAGCAGAACCCGTGTCTGTCCTGTAAGTCTCGGAGAAGGGGCACTTTCTGATCGCTCTCCTTCAGGCGGGTTCATTCTGATTGCAAGTTTTCCACATTGGCTTCTGCAGCTCTGCCTTTTAATTCTCTTCTTGGGGGGTCAGCCATTGGTATAACCACTGCTATTTTGCTTTGTTTTAGTTTTTTGATAGATGCTTAGGTAGCCACCTAGCTTGTCCTAACAGTGACACAGTGAATCTTGCTGTACTGTCGTTCCATACATTTTAACAAGTCTGTCCATGCTGAAATTCTCCTCACAGAGCTACTGAGTCAAACTTTTCGTGCATTTGACTTTTTGAAAGTCACGTGTCCTCTCTGGGGGTGGAAGGCATTTGCACTGTAGCCAGCAGAGCAGGGATGAGCTGGTGGTCACGCTGCCCGTCACCCCTAGCGTCTTGCGGTGTTTCCTCAAACATCCCTAGAGATGCTTTTCCTTTCCTTACAGTCTGGAGCAAAAGCACAGCCCCTGCTCCAGATAACGGCACGTCAGCCTGGGGTGAGCCGAGCGAGAGCAGTCCTGGGTGGGGCGAGGTGGATGACACAGGAGCGGCAGCCACGGGCTGGGGACATGCACCCACCAGCGCTCCCAATGCCACGAAACCCAGTGAGTGCACGCACTGTCGCTTTTTGAAAGGGTGAGGGGGGTCTTCAATTTGGGAGCAAGACGTTTTGGTGAGGACTATTTGATGTTTAATTTGATTCAATGAGATTATGGGCCTCTAACATTAAATAGTTAATAGCAATGGTGCTTGCTTGGGCTGGCATATACTGCAGTGTTTATAATGAACTCGAAGTCAGAAGTACATGTTGTTGATTTTGTTTTAAATTAGGCCTGGTACCTAGCCAGAACTATGACTTAGATGCGGTTGATTTTTAGCCCAGTAATTTAAACATGCTCCCATGTCTGCTTTACGTTTTGACCCTTCTGTGTCTGAAGTCAGTTTTGAACGTGCGCTGTGACCCTTGCCTCCCTCCGCTGCCTTCCTCGCCACAGGCCTGCCTTGTGCCTGGGGCCTCTTCTCTGACCATTCACTTCACTCTTGCGGGTTGTTGACCTTCACAGAGATTTCCTCATTTCAGTTTTTAAAATGGAGAGCATGGCACTCATTCATAATCAGTGAGACTCTGAGCTGCCCTTCATTTGGCTGGCTCTGTGTAGTGTGGTTGTTTTCAAGTCTTTGAAGATTGGTGCTAGGGAATGTCTCATGCTGAGTCCCTAAACTGAAAAATACAATTCCAAGTGCCTGTTTCCCCTTGGCTTTAACTGTCCTTAAAATGTCCTAACATCTCTTTTCTGCCACATGACATATTTAAGGCATTATCTTTTCGTTATATAATGCTTAAAATTTGAGCAAGAGAAAATGTTTGGATAAGTGTATATTTGTGTTTAAGGTTTCTTTGGTTGCTTTTTTTTTTTTTAAAGATTTATTTATTTTTATTGGAAAGGTGTGTACGCAAAGAGGAGGAGAGACAGAGAGGAAGATCTTCTGTCCAATGGTTCACTCCCCAAGTGACCGCAACGGCTGGAGCTGAGGCAATCCGAAGCCAGGAGCCAGGAGCTTCTTCCAGGTCTCCCATGCGGGTGCTGGGTCCCAAAGCTTTGGGCCGTCCTCGACTGCTTTCCCAGGCCACAAGCAGGGAGCTGGATGGGAAGCGGGGCCACCAGGATTAGAACCGGTGACCATATGGGATCCCGGTGCGTGCAAGGCGAGGACTTTAGCCGTTAGGCTATCGTGCTGGGCCCTCTTTGTTTATTTTGAAAGAACTACCCAGAGAGGGAAAGATGAGAGAGTCAGAGATCTTCCATTCACTGATTTGCTTCTCAAGCAGATGCAACAGCCAGAACTGGACAAGCATAAAAACAGGAACTACGAGTCTCAGCCAAGTCTCCCACTTAGGAGGCAGGTGCCCAGACACTTGGGCCATCTTCCACTGCTTTTCCTAGACCATTGTGAAGAAGCTGGATTGAAAGTGGAACAGCTCTGAGTCCAGCGCAGTAGCCTACCAGCTAAAATCCTCGCCTTGCACGCACCGGGATCCCCATCCCAGCGGCCCCGCTTCCCATCCAGCTCCCTGCCTGTGGCCTTGGAAAGCAGTCAATGATTGTCTTAGGACCCTGCACCCATGTGGGAGACCTGAAAGAAGCTCAGGGTTCCTGGCTTCGGATTTGGCTCAGCTCCGGCCACTGTGGCCGCTTGGGGAGTGAATCATCAGATGGAAGATTTTCCTCTCTGTCTCTCCTCCTCTGTATGTCTACTTTCCAATACAAATAAACAAATCTTTTAAAAAGAGGAAGAAAAGAAGAGAAAGTGGAGCAGCTCAGGCATGGACTGGTGTTGGCCTCACAGGTTGCAACTTCTCAGCACTAACCCCTGAATTCTTTCCTTTCCTTTCCTTTCCTTTCCTTTCCTTTCCTTTCCTTTCCTTTCCTTTCCTTTCCTTTCCTTTCCTTTCCTTTCCTTTCCTTTCCTTTCCTTTCCTTTCCTTTCCTTTCCTTCCTTTCCTTTCCTTTCCTTTCCTTTCCTTTCCTTTCCTTTCCTTTCCTTTCCTTTCCTTTCCTTTCCTTTCCTTTCCTTTCCTTTCCTTTCCTTTTCCTTTCCTTTCCTTTCCTTTCCTTTCCTTTCCTTTCCTTTCCTTTCCTTTCCTTTCCTTTCCTTTCCTTTCCTTTCCTTTCCTTTCCTTTCCTTTCCTTTCCTTTCCTTTCCTTTCCTTTCCTTTCCTTTCCTTTCCTTTCCTTTCTTTCCTTTCCTTTCCTTTCTTTCCTTTCCTTCCTTTCCTTTCCTTTCCTTTCCTTTCCTTTCCTTTCCTTTCCTTTCCTTTCCTTTCCTTTCCTTTCCTTTCCTTTCCTTTCCTTTCCTTTCCTTTCCTTTCCTTTCCTTTCCTTTCCTTTCCTTTCCTTTCCTTTCCTTTCCTTTCCTTTTCCTTTCCTTTCCTTTCCTTTCCTTTCCTTTCCTTTCCTTTCCTTTCCTTTCCTTTCCTTTCCTTTCCTTTCCTTTCCTTTCCTTTCCTTTCCTTTCCTTTCCTTTCCTTTCCTTTCCTTTCCTTTCCTTTTCAATATTTAGACCCCTTAACAGAGCCACATAAAGGAAAATGAATGATAACAACTTATTCTAGAAACTCACACTCAGACCTGTGTAACTGAACTGTATTTCAAAAACATCAATTCTTCCGCTTTGTCTATATAGCTCCATTGTCTGCTCCTTGATTCTTGTTTGGGTATACAGTGCTTTGTTTTGTTTTATTTTGGATTTTTTTTTTTTTTTTTTTTTTGTCTAAAAGGCAGAGTCGCAGAGAGAGGGAGAAAGAGAGAAAAACAGAACGAGAGATCTTCCATCTGCTGCTCACCTGCGGTTCACTCTCAAATGGCCACAACAGCCTGAGATTGGCTGAGCTGGAGTCAGGAGCCAGGAGCTTCATCTGGGTCTCCCATATAGCTGCAGGGGCCCAAGCACTGAGCTGCTTTCCCAGGCCATTAGCAAGGAGCTGTATTGGAAGTAGAATAGTCTAGACTCAAACTGCTAATCATATAGAATGCCGGTGTTGCAGAATGGTCGTATAACCCGCTTGCCAAAAGTTGGCCCCCAAGTAATCTTACAGTTACTTCAGGCCTAAACTCATCCATTTAGAAAGCTTTAAATTCTTAAAAAATAATAATAATAACACTCTTCTGTATCAGCAACTCATTTCGCTGTCTTTGGATTATTTATTTTTCTGCAGTGAAATTGAAGTTTATAGGTCAATAAAGGAGTTAACTTTCAGCAGTTTATACAGAGTTCACCTTTTCAGTGATTTTTTTTTAAGAGAAAAACACAGTGCTGCCTGCCTGGAAGCCACTACTGTGGCATAGCAGGAAAGCCACCACCTGCACTTCCAGTGTTCAAGTCGCAGGTGCTCCACTTTAAATCCAGCTCCCTGCTAATGTGCCTGGAAAAGCAGTGGAGGATGGCTGAAGCACTTGGGGCTCCATGCCTGCATGGGAGACCTGGAAGAAACTCCTGGCTCCTGACTTCTACCTGGCTTAGCTCTGGCCATTGTGGCCATTTGGGGAGTGAACCAGCAAGTAAAAATCTTTTTCTCTCTGTTGTTGCCTCTCATTCTATAACTCTGTTTCAAATAAATTTAAAAATTTTTAATTGATTTTTGTTATACAGTAATCTTCCAACAGATTAATGTGTGATTTCTATGTGCTCAACAAATTAACTCAGACTTGACTGAAAATAATGAATTTGTTTGAAGGAAAGCACAAAGCAGCTCATTATGAAAGTGTTAGTTCCATTATGATTTTCATTGTGAAGTTAGTTGGGTCATCATGAGAGATCATCTAGTGACTTATGAATGGGTCAGTGCATTTATTTTTTATGTATATTTACTTATTTTTACTGGAAAGGCAGATTTACAGAAGGAAGAAGCAGAAAGTCTTCCATCCACTGGTTCACTCCCCAATAGGTCATGAATGCTCTGGACCATCCTGTACTGCTTTCCCAGGCCACAAGCAGGAAGCTAGAGGAAGTGGAGCAGCTGGGATTAGAACCGGTGCCCGTGGATCCCTGTGTGTGCAAGACAGTGATTTAGCCAGAAGGCCATCACGCCAGACCCAATATTGGGCTTTTAATTCTTGTTGGTTAACAAGTATATGCTTTAAAGTGTAGGATTAAATAATGTAAATTATCCTATAAATATAAAATGTGACTATATGGGTTTATAGTCCTGTTAGCAAGAGGAAACAGTCCTGTGACAGAGAGCATAGCAACCTTGCCCTCCATTCTGGGATGAACCCCGTGCGGCCCTGGCCTCGCTGGGCTGGAGGGCCGTGTTAGACAGCTGCCAGGCCTGGCGCAGGAGCCTAGCGGCTAAAGTCCACACCTTGGCAAGCGCCAGGCTTCCACATGGGCACTGGATCTAATCCTGGTAGCCCCACTTCCCATCCAGCTCCCTGCTTGTGACCTAAGAAAGCAGAGGAGGACAGCCCAAAGCTTTGGGACCCTGCACCCGTGTGGGAGACCCGGAAGAGGCTCCGGTCTTCTGGCTTCAAATCTGCGCAGCTCCAGCTGTTGCAGCCACTTGCAGAGTAAATCATCAGATGGAGCATCTTCCTCTCTGTCTCTCCTCTCTCTATTTTCCAATAAAAAAAATTTTTTTTAATTAAAAAAAAAAAAAGAAGAAGTGGCAGCCGCCCTGTGCCTGATATTCTTGGAGTTTCCTTCCTGGCTGTCACCGGCCTGGCCCGAGCAGCAGCCTGGAGATTCCTGGACTCCAGACTCTTAATATGAAGCTGTCAAAATTGAATGCCTTCCTTAAACTTCCTGTTACTAGGTAAAGTGAAGGTGTGGACAGGCGGTAGGCAAAGAACATTAATTCATTATCCTTAATCATTTTATGCAGCTTTAATATTATGTGGTTTTTTTTTTTAAAGATTTATTTTTATTACAAAGTCAGATATACAGAGAGGAGGAGGAGAGACAGAGAGGAAGATCTTCTGTCTGATGATTCACTCCCCAAGTGAGGGCAACGGCCGATGCTATGCCAATCTGAAGCTGGAAACCAGGAACTTCTTCCGGGTCTCCCACGTGGGTGCAGGGTCCCAAAGCTTTGGGCCGTCCTGGACTGCTTTCCCAGGCCACAAGCAGGGAGCTGGATGGGAACTGGAGCTGCTAGGATTAGAACCGGCGCCCATATGGGATCCTGGTACGTTCAAGGCAAGGAATTTAGCTGGTAGGCCACGCCTCCGGGCCCATAAGTATTTTTTAGAGATGATTCTGTTAGGTAAAATCATTGCATCTTTTGTTTTTAAGATTTATTTATTCTTGTTAGAAAGATTTGTAGATCAATCAGGAGAGAGAGATCTTCCATCCACTGGGTCACTCCCCAAGTGGCCACAATGGCTGGTGCTGGGCCCATCCAAAGCCAGGAGCCAGAAGCTTCTTCAGGTCTTCTCATGAATTCAGGGACCCAAGGACTTGGCCAGCCTCAGCTGCTTTCCCAAGCTGAGTGAGAAGTGGTACAACCGAGACTTGAACCACCCCCCTTTATGGGATGCTGGTGCCACCGGGGGAGGCTTAGTGTGCTATGCCACTGTGCCAGCCCTGAATTCCTCTTCTTTAACCAGTGTTGATATTCAAATTATCTTACAAGTTTTCCTTTTTTTTTTCTTCCCTTTTTCATATTGCTTTATTTTGTAAGTGACTCACCTCAAATCAAATTTGTTTGTTTTCAATCATGCGGCTTATTTACAGGGACCATTGTGTAGAAGAGTAAGAAGTAACTTAGGAGAGTGAAATTAGGACCACAGTAAACTATGCTTGTTAAGGGGAGCAGATTTCTCATCATTTGCATGTAAAGTTTCTCATAAGCATAATCAGTTTTGCACTTCCGGTTAACTTGATGCAAGGGGAGCAATGTTGGAGCAGAATGTGGGGGTTCTGGCTGTCACTAAAGTTCCCTGCTCTCCTAGTCTCTGCCTGGGGAAGGCCAGCCAGCCTTACTGAGATGCACACATGCTCCGTCGCCAAGGAGTGGGCATCCTGGTTATTGTTGTATTTATTTACGTTTGTTAGCTGCTGCAAAGCTTTGATGCATTTCTCTCCCAAAGATTCCAAATCTATGCAAGACGGCTGGGGGGAGAGTGATGGGCCAGTGGCAGGAACTCGCCATCCCAGCTGGGAAGAGGAGGAGGATGGAGGAGTCTGGAACACCGCCGGCTCTCAGGGAAGCGCTTCCTCCCACAACTCAGCCAGCTGGGGACAAGCAGGAAAGAAGCAAATGAAGGTAACACGCCAGGGGGACAGTCCTGGAAGGAGGGGGAAGCACCTGGCTGGGGTCATTAAGGAGGAAAGTATTTCCTTACAGACCAATCATTGCTTGCCTTTCATCTCACATCTCCCTTTCCCATGACCTAGAAACCTTGCACTCCCTGACTGAAGCTGTAGGTAAAATGAGATCTTTTTTTTAATAGATACGTGGGATGTTTTTTAATTTCTTCATTCTGGTAATTTGTTGAAGTCTCAGGGCACAGCCGCCCTGAGAGTCACCCCTACGGGTGTGTAGACAGAAAGCCGAAGGAAGGCGATGCTGGGGATGACCGGTATGACTTCATTTTCTTTGGGAAATTGCAGAGCACAGAGGCGTCTCCCGCTGCCCTGCCGCTGCAGCTGGAGGAGTGGGCTCCCTCCGCGGCCTCTGGGTGCGAGTGCCGTCTGCCCTGCCTTGCCGCAGTTCACTCCCCCTGGACTTGAATAACTGGATGAGGACTTTGGCTTTAATCTAGAACAGTAGTTTCTCTTTTTAATATTTATTTATTTTCATTAGAAAGTCAGATATACAGAGAGGAAGAGAAACAGAGAGCAAGATCTTTTGTCTGCTGATTTCACTTCCCAAATGGCCGCAACGGCAGGAGCTGAGCCAATCCAAAGCCAGGAGCCAGGAGCTTCCTCCAGGTCTCCCATGAAGATGCAAGGTCCCAAAGGTTTGATCCATCCTTGACAGCTTTCCCAGGCCACAAGCAAGGAGCTGGATGGGAAGCAGGGTCGCCGGGATATGAACTGGCACCCATGTGGGATCCCGGTGCATTCAAGGCAAGGACTTTAACCACCAGGCTACCACTCTGGGCCCCCATAGTTTCTTTTTTAAAACCAGAACCACTGACTTGGCAGAGACACTCTCTCTGGTTTTGTTTTTTTGTTTTGTTTTGTTTTGTTTTTCCCAATCCACAAATAAAATGGTAGAAATAAGATGCAGGCATGCATGGAGTTGGTCTCAGCCTGCTCTGCCAGGAAGCCCTTCGCAGCTGAGACTTCTGCATTTCAGATTCCACATGCTGTCTTTGATGGTCTCCGGAGCCTGGGGGTGGTACCACCGTCCCTTTGACCCAAAGGATATTAAATTAGCTGAAGGCCCTGGCTTTCTGTGCTAGCATAGGAGAAATACAGTTTGTTTTCCATTAAAGACGTTTTCTTTCAGAAGCCATTTATGGTTTTCCCTCTTTGAACAGCTTTTGTTTCGTTGCTTTATTCACAAAAGGAATTATTCAGTAAATTTTTCAGCTTTCTTGGTACCCTGAGTCATCTGGTCTGCTTTTTTGACTTTCTTTGGCTTATTTACAAATTAAGAATGGGACGAAATTAACTGAATGAGAGGCACTTGTAAATCACCCACTGAGGTGGCACCCACTATTTAATTAATTGAGAACTAAGGGTTGTAGCTCCAGCCCAGTCGTTCTGACCTTTCAAACAAAGGACCTTAACAAAATTGTGATAAAATGCACTCACCGTTGAATTGGTCGCCTTAACTATTTCAATGTGTAGAGTGCAATGGCGTGCAGTTTATTCACGTTGGCAGGCTACCATCACCACCCTCTCTCTGAGGAGCTCTTTGCATCATCCAAAGCTTATAACTTTGTGCCTGTTAGTAATGACTCCGTATCCCCTTCCCTTCATTGAGGATTTTTTTTTCAAAGATTTATTTATTTTTATTACACAGTCAGATATACAAAGAGGAGGAAAGACAGAGAGGAAGATCCTCCGTCTGATGATTCACTCCCCAAGTGAGCGCAACGGCCGGGATTAGAACTGGCGCGCATATGGGATCCTGGGGCATACAAGGCGAGGACTTTAGCCACTAGGCCACGCTGCCGGGCCCCATTGAGGATTTTTTTTTTAACCTTAGAACCTGTCACTAAACTTAAATACCTCCTCAGTTTCAAGAATAGCAATATTGACTTGATAGCATCACAGTATTTTTGCCCGAAGAATCTGCAAGGTGCACAAATACATTTATTGTTGGAACGACAAATTTATAGAGAAATCAGGAGAGAGAGATCTTCCATCCACTGGGTCACTCCCCAAGTGGCCACAATGGCTGGTGCTGGGCCCATCCAAAGCCAGGAGCCAGAAGCTTCTTCAGGTCTTCTCATGAATTCAGGGACCCAAGGACTTGGCCAGCCTCAGCTGCTTTCCCAAGCTGAGTGAGAAGTGGTACAACCGAGACTTGAACCACCCCCCTTTATGGGATGCTGGTGCCACCGGGGGAGGCTTAGTGTGCTATGCCACTGTGCCAGCCCTGAATTCCTCTTCTTTAACCAGTGTTGATATTCAAAATATCTTACAACTGTAGTTAGAAAAAGTTAAGATTCGAAGGATAAACTCCCAGTTGTACACTTTCAGTCTGCCATTTTGCAGCATGAATAGGAGGTTGAGATAAATTCTTTGCCTCTGAGGTTCCATGTTTTGTTTCTGTAGTGCCCACTCAAAGGAGGAAACAACGATTCCTGGATGAATCCTCTTGCCAAACAGTTTTCAAACATGGGATTGCTGGTAAGTTTCATGGAGTTGCTGTTTTTTCTTATGCTCCTAAGTCTTGGCTTTAGTATACAGTTGAGGACCTTTGCCATGTACAGTAGGGTTACAGATTTAAAACTGATAAGGCCACGTTCTTCACGTTTTGGGATGAGCAGTACTGTCTCTGTGCTCTGGTCCGGAAAGCAGGTCAGCCTCCCTGAAGTGTGTGGTCTTTGCGTCCTTTTCCTTAGCAGATCAGGAAGGGAGCAGTCGGACACTGCAGATTCAACTGTGGTCGCCATTGTCACGTTGTCAGTTGTAGACACCAGCAATGTAGAACCAGGAAAAGGAATTCTCACAAAATCGCTGATTTCCATATCACTCAGGAATGTGTAGGGACACCCTGTCCCTGATTGCCAAAAGACAAGTGACTTGACTTGGCTGCACATTTCAAGGCTTGACAACTTGACAAGTCACGAGAAGAAGTTGTCATCATTTGGCAGCCAGTCAGGGAATTAGATCCGGGGCCGCTGGAGCTTGGGGACTGCTTCCTTTTTCCAGGCAACTGTGTAGGTCCTTCTCTGTGTACAGGATTACAGCGGCAAATTGTACATGGACATGGAGCGTTAGGGGTCCTCATTCCTGGTTGACGTTTCCTTAGAGGACCTTACATAGGGTCCCATGAAGGATGTGGCTCTGTGCTGATTCAGATACCTGAGCCCTTAATTCTCTCCCACCTATGCTTTATTTTTCAGAGTCAAACTGAAGATAATCCAAGCAGCAAAATGGATTTGTCTGTAGGTATGTATCCCTCTCTTGAGTGTAAATGAGACTCTTTGGGGTGTAAACAATACCCTTGTGAGGATCTCCTGCCCAGCTGGAGTTGGGATGGATATGATTCCATAGTTGTCTTTAAAAACCCCAATTAAGGAGAAAAGGAAAAGCATTCTGGGGCAGTGAGAGAAACAGCTTGGTAGTCTTTGTTCTATACTTTTTAACACAACAAAATGTAAAACCTAAGCTCCTGGGGCACTGCTGACAGCAGCCTGGGAAGGCAGGGGACAGTCCCTGAACCGGGAAGTCGTGCCGTACAGATGATGGGGACGAGTCACCTTGTCTGCTCAGTTCTCATGTTCTAAGTTCTGGGGTGACAACTGTGCCTCCTTGATCTGTGCAGTTTCCATAACTGTGCTTTACAGTCTCACTCATGTATCTGGCAGATGGAAAATAACCAGAATAGGCACTTCTCTGAAAACATTAAAATTTATGAGCAAGATGTATTCCTCAAACACATCAGTAACCCATTTAAAAGTCTTCTCGGCCAGATTTGCAGCATGTTGGCCCTCTAGGAGTCAACTTCAGTCTTCCAAGGAAAGCAAGCTAAAACAGGTTACTGTTTTGTTTATTTAATCATGCGCACGTGTTCTAGGGACGGAATGCACAGCAGCCTAAGCCACTGCGACAGCTTCTGTCCCCGGAGAGCAGATTGTTAGATCGCACCGTGTGGCGCGACAGGTCACTCTTGCTTCATGAAGCGCACATTGATCTTGAATTTTTCAGCTTATTTATGCTACTTTTCAGGAAGCCTTTCAGATAAAAAATTTGATGTGGACAAGCGAACAATGAATCTCGGGGATTTTAATGATATCATGAGGAAAGATCGATCTGGGTTCCGTCCACCTAATTCCAAAGACATGGGAACCACAGAGAGTGGGCCTTATTTTGAGAAGGTGAGTCACACCTTTTATTTAAGATAATCATTCATAAGAACTGGTTGGTTTCATTTGTATTTTGATATCACTGATTCTGGAAGAAGTGCAGAATCGCTAAGGTAAATGAACAGAACACAAGTATCTCCTACATTTAAAATTATGAAAATAATCGATGTTGTACGTGATTAAACGGTTAGAATCATCTGCTTGTCGTAGCATTGAGTGTTGTGAAGGTAATCTTGGTTTTGAAAGCTCTGTCATGTTCCGAGTGGGGGATGACCTAACATTTATCGCAGGGGAAATGCACTCTCAGAAAATGCAAAGGAAATTTTAGGGAGCAATTTATTTTGTGTTGTTTTCTCTGCTGATTAAATCGAGTTCTGTGCAGATAGTCCAGGTCTTCTAAGGCCTTGCCTTCCAGATTTGAGCAAACTGGTTCATCTTCCCCATTTCCTACAAGTCTGTTTTTAGTTATAGTGTATTGTTCTACTTCCCAACTACCTGATTTAACAAGTAATTCATACCTGCTGGTTTGATTTTTTTATTATTATTATTTCTAAGGAAGAGTTTATTCCTTGATTCAGAATACCAATTCCCAATACTCCTGGTCTTAAACTCAAGAATCTTTCACCTGGCACAATGTTAACAGTGTTGCAGTGTTGCTGCTGGTCCAGGCCGCAGTAAACTCAGAAGAAGCAGTCACTGTCACAGACGTGAAAGTCCAGTGTCTGGCAGTTTTTGTGTTGTTGCTGTGGACAGACTGTGTGAGTAACTCCAGCATCAGAAAACGACATCAAAGGGATGGCAGGTGGTGGCTGTTGGGCCACGTGGAACAGTCACCAATGCCCAGCTCCAGCCTGGGGGATTGCTCAGACTCTCTAACTTTGTTTATTCCTCGTGTTTCTCCCTTTCTCCTCTCGTTCTGTTGCCTCACTAACCAACACTCGTTGTGATTGGCTCACTCCTACTGCTTTTCAGCTGACTTTGCCTTTCTCCAATCAAGATGGGTGCCTTGGGGATGAGGCTCCCTGCTCTCCCTTCTCCCCTTCTCCCAGCTACAAGCTGTCTCCCTCGGGTTCCACACTGCCCAACGTCAGCCTTGGAGCAATCGGCACAGGGCCCAACCCCCAAAACTTCGCTGCTAGACAAGTAAGGAGGCCTCTGGAATCTGTGACTGCTTGGCTCTGGCCTCGTCTTGGCCCTGGTCTGCAGTTGATTGCATCATTTGTCTGTCTTGGAAAATCTGTTGATTACTGATTGCACAGGATGATAATAAGGTCTAGGTTTTAGATCGTTCCGCCCATAGATCCATCTCTCTTCATGTTTCCTGACATGGATTTTATTTTAATCCTGTTTCTTTTGTCTTCTCATTTTCGGTCATAAGTTCACATTACTATACTAGCTGACGGGAAAATGCTGAAGAAGCCTCAGTGGTGCCTGAGAAGTGATTCAGCAGTGCATCCACACGTGTTAACAGTACACTGGGTGATAGAAACACACGTTGGAAATCTTCAATTTCACGAACCTACTAAGTACTTGAAAATCAGCCAAAACTGATGAGATTAAGCATTTGAGAATTGCTACATCTTAAAATCTGGTATTTAGGTGTAGAATACCACAATCACCTAGAGAGGGGTGACTTTCATAGCTGGTGAGACTCTGAGGAAAGGCTGTGCCGTAGAAGCAAAACCAGCACAGCTGGAGGGCTGATGAGGCCTGCTCGCTTTCTCGGGCCTGAGGGGGCAGAGCAGGGCTCTGTCAACCCCCCGGTTGGCTTGGGGTTACTGGAGGCAGCAGTGACTTTCCCACGCATACTTGACCACTTGCTAGTCCCCATGACGTTCACCTAAAGATCTCGTGGACAGACGGCAGTCACACCGCTGGCAAGCGTGAGCTGTGTCCGTGTCTCCCCGGGAGGGTGGTGGCCGGCACCTCTGCGCCCACAGGCAGGGTGCACACAGGCTCGTCCTGGGCTCTCCCGTTGTTGTCTGAGCACATTGCAAAAAGCAGCTTTCATGCAGCCCTGTATTCCAGATGGTTAACTCTGAATTGGGAGTTTCTGGTGATTTCTTGCTTTCTTCCTTTATATTTGACCGTTTTTCTTAATGCTTCCATAAAGGACATGGATGTGTATTACTTATAGAAACAGGAAAGAAACTGAAGAAACTATGACATCTGTCTTCTGGGCGCTGTTTTATTTAGGGGTGCGGTATAGAAAACATAGGCTTAACACTATGGTTGCTCTGAGATCACGTGATCAGCAAATGCTGTCGGTACACAGATTTGATGACGCAGGCACTCACACTGGCTTAGGCATTGAACTCTACCACAGCCCACTTTCTCTCTATCTGTGGGTTGCTGTGAAGATCATTGTTAGGGGTATGCAAGTCCAACACAGATATAGACATGCATTTTCTTAGACTATTTCCACACACAGTTAGTATACTTCATAGCTTCATTAAAAACAAAATGCTCAACTTTTATTCTTTGGAGTACTCCAGGCAGCTTTGTAGTTTGATTCTTTTTGTTCTAGACTTTCCTGAGTGATGCGCTGTAGTCGAAGAGTAGCTCTCAGCAGTCAAGCTTTAACCACATTCACACATGGTTTTGGGTTACCATTTTTCTAGTTTCTATATATTTTGAAAAAGTTAGATTAGACAGCCTCTAAATATATCGCTGCCAAAAGCTCTATCTGAGCCAAGAAAACCAACAGCTTGTGTCCTGTTGTAGATTATGGAAAAGACATTGTCCGATGGACTGCTATTGACTGGCCTCTGCTGTCACCCACTCAGATTTAGCAAAATGCTTTGTGGGCTTTCGAGACACTGGATAATGGAAACCCTCAGATCTTTGGCAGAGCAGAGTGGAATCTGCTGGCTGGGAAGAGAAAATAGGGCTTGGTTTTACAAAAACTTTTTAAAAAGGGAAATTCTCTGAAGTAATTCTTTCTCAGAGGAGAGATTGAAGGTTTAATATAGTTCCGTATTTGCCAAAACGTTGATTCTGGCAAGGACTTTACCCCAGTTGTAAATAGCTGACATTTAACAGCAAGGCCATCCCTCTGTTAGTGCGAGAAAGAACCTAGTGTAATTTTTTTTTTTTTTAATGAAATGAATGTTTCTTCTTTTTCTGGGCTTGATTAGTTAGCCAAGCTGCTACCGGCTGCCATGTGCGAGAACCCTCAGAGTCAGGCGGTTTTACCCTGGGGTGACAGTTTACTGCAACTGAACCCGTGGAGAGTAGGGTTTCTGCAATTAAAGGCTTGCTCTGTCTAAACAACCCTTCGAGTGACAAAAAATTCATAGTGGATTTTTTTTTGTAAAATACACAAATTTTAATTGCCATTTCTTCTTTATGTTTGTAATCATTCTTATTTTCAGTGTTTATTAATTTCTCTGTAGCAGTCCCTTAAAGTCTATTTTCGAATCATGAAGCATCATGAAGTATGCTTAGTGTTCTAGAAATTAATGATACCGTTACAAAATTATTTAAAAATGACCTCAATCCCCAGGGTTCCAGGAATAAGACAAAGGTGGTGGCTTCTACCACACGTACTTGGTAGGAGGAGGGTGCAGCCACTGCCACGGACGTGCTTGCAAGTGTGTGAAATTGGTGGATGGTCGACATTTGCAAATGATGTACTTCCTGCAGACCAGGGCTTCGCTGAGTTTTGGGAATGCAGAGAACTTCTAGGCAGGCAAGAGAAGGAGATGCTTTGGCGGAGTTTGGTGATGGGTCCCGTTACCATTTCAGTGTTTTGATAGCATAGATATGGCTCAATTAAAAATTTAAGTGTGAAATGAGGAATAAACCTTCCAAGAAAGATGTCCTTGATGAGGATGGCCTGTGGCCTGGGCCTTGCAGCTGTGCGGGAAGGACCCCCAGGCAGGGGGAGCGCACCAGCAGGTTAGCCCATGGGATGTCTCTGCTGGAGGATTTTTCATGGCCGGAAGCAAGTCAGAAAGGAGATCTTGGCATGGACACAGCTTTCTACAGCTGGGAGTGGTGCAGCGGAAGTGTGTCTGGTGGGGTGATCCCCCAGAAATAAGAGAGGAAAGTTTATTGTTAGCTAGATTGCTGTTCATAGGATTGAATGTGAAGTTACAGGTGAGTCATGTTTGTTTTTGTATCCCTGTGATGATTTCTTACTTTTATCCTTTTGATCTCCCCTGTGAGTGATTCATATTTCCTTATCTAGCAAAAGAAGGGGTCAAGCGGATCCCACACAGAAAGGAGGGTGTAGACCTGGAGGAGGCTCCCGTGGTGCAAAGCTCATTGCTGGATTCAGTGATTCTGTGATGGAGCGTTGTGGTGGCTTTTACAATCATCCTATTCTTGAGCCACATTTTTTTACTCAGTTGTCTTTTAGGTGGGATACCAAATGATATTTGAGAATCAAGTTTGTAAATTCAGTCTTAAGAAAAGGACAGTGGGGAGTAGTTAAATCAGCATTACATTGCCTGAATGTTAGTGCTGCTTCTAATGTTGGTTACATTTCATCCTTCTGGTTTGTAGAGCTCCTCAGGCTGCACAGATGGTGTTGGTGGGCCCAGGACTGGGCCTCGGTAGTTGCCCCCCACGCGGCAGGATGTGCACTTCCCAGGGAGAAAGTCGTCCTGTGGTCCCATGAGACACAGTGCATGACCCTGCTGAGAGCTAGAAGCCAGGACTGTTTCTTACTTGCCTTTTCTGACATCAACTGGAGCCCTCACTGTCGCTGTTCTGTTTGCAGGGCGGTAATCATGGCTTGTTTGGAAACAGCACAGCACAATCGAGAGGCCTGCACACCCCTGTGCAGCCGCTGAATTCCCCTGGTCTCCGGGCGCAAGTGCCTCCCCAGTTTATTTCTCCCCAGGTAAGCTGCTCGCGTTCTCAATCTCAGAACGAAGGGGGTGCAGGTAGTTAGCAGTTATCAGCTCACGGGCTTTGTGCACGTACAAAGCATGGTAAAGTTGAGATGCCCAAAATCAAGATTTGTAGAATAAAATACCGAATTTCATTTTTTATTGAAAAAAAAATTTTTATTTCATTTTGTATAAAAAAAAAAGTAGATGGTTTTACTTGGAAAACTTCTGATGATTTTATTTTTAGATCTCCTATTTTTCTACTTTCTCATTGATTTAATTGCATGGAATTAAAACTGCTCCACATGTTCTGATGTGACCATGTCAGAAGCAGACTGCACTGGAGGACTTGCCGCGCAGGCCAAGGGGGAGTTTTCCGATTCTGGATCCCTCAGAACTCCCACATGCGAGGCAGGGGCCCACGTACCTGAGCCATCACTCCCTGCCTCCTGTGGTGTGCTGGAGAAATTAGAAGGAAGCTGGACTGGAACCCTGATGCTCCTGTGTGAGAAGCAGGCATCTTAAGCACTGATACCTGTACCCAGAAGGATTTTGAGAGTACGGTTTTTAGGAAAACACAGTGAATTTTGGGAGACTTTAGTGCTGTGGATCTCTTTACTAGCACAGCATCTGCTCTGCTTTATGAATGACAAGCACTTGTGTTCCTTCTGTTTATGAAACACGCTGATTTAGCAAAACCATGATTAACATTTAGTGCGTCATGGGAACAATATTAAATCTTGAATTTATAGGTTGTTTTTTCCTCCTTGGCATTTCTGGTGTTAAAAAAAACAACAGACGGGTCATGATAAGCACTCTGAAAATTGAGATAAAGAAGAAAAAAATTCTTCTAGAAATTGTCCACCCAAATATTTATTTATTTATTTGTGAATAAATAAATAAATAAAACTTTAAAAATGAAATGTTGATAAATACCAAATCTACATCCTTATTTGTTTACTTAAAGATGTGTTTATTTTTAAATTGGAAAGTCAGGTTTACTAAGAGGAGACAGAAAGATCATCCATCTGCTGATTCACTCCCCAAGTGGGCACAACAGCTGGAGTTGAGCCAACCCGAAACCAAGAGCCAGGATCTTCTGGGTGTCCCACGCAGGTGCAAGGTCCCAAGGCTTAGGGCCGTCCTTGACTGCTTTCCCAGGCCACAAGCAGGGAGCTAGATGGGAAGTGGAGCTGCCAGGATTAGAACCGGTGCCCATATGGGTTCCCGGACGTGCAAGGCAAGGACTTTAGTCGCTAGGCCACTGTACCAAGCCCCCCATCCAGTTTTTTAATTAGCTTTATTTAAATGGCAAATAACAAAAACAGAAGATGTTCTATGCATTTACTCACCAAATGGCCACAGTAATTAAAGCTGGACCAGGCAGGAGCCAGGAACTCCATCCAGGCATCCTGCTTGAATGGCAAGGCACAATATATTTGAGCTATCACCTGCTGCCTTCTTAGGCACATTAGCAGGAAGGTGGATTGGAAATGGAGCAACTGGGACTCAAGCTGGCACTCGGATGTAGGATACTGGTGTCACAAGCAGTGGCTTAACCCACTGCATCACAACACCAACCTCAAATTGTATAGCTGTCTTAACCGCTCTATAGGAGCAGTCGTTATTTAATGTCAACAGACAAAGACTGAGAAACTTATCTTTAAGGGTTTTTTTAATAAGTGCCCCAGGCCTTGGTTTTGTACAGTTGTCTTTTTCCCCTAGCTACTCAAGAGATTCAGAAAGTAACAGTTCCTGGCAGGCTGTTATCTTGCCTTCAGATTCCGGCCGTTTTGCACCTGCAATACTTCTTTGAATGCCATATTGATTGCAACAAGACCTTCACTTTTCTGTAACTCAGCTGGAAATTGGAGGGCTTTTCAGCCAGAATAATTAACTGCCTGCAACAGGAATGTGCAAAAACTGCACTTTGGTTTCTCTGTATCTCAGTATGCAGAGCCATTTGCTGGGAGCCTCCAGGTGCTTCTCTTAGGTCTCCTTGGGAGAAAGATGGCGTAACTGAGCTGAGGAAGGGAGAGGCTGAGCAAGGCTAGTTAGCAAGTCCTCCTCTGTGTGACTTCCACAGTGTCCATAGAGATCAGTCTATGGACCAGACGAGATGATGCCGATTAGACACTGTGGGAATGCCTGGCTGTGAGCACTCCTGTTCTTGTCTCAGTCTATCTTTGAGATTTGCTGTCCTATCCCACCCACTGGCAAGCTTCTCTACCAAGTTAGGCATAAACATTTTAAAAAAATCACTTGAAAGACAGTCAAAGAGAGAGAGAAAGAAGGAAAGAAAGAAATTTGTCACCCGCGGATTCAGTTGCTGGCCTGAGCCAAAACCTGGAACCACAAACTAACTCCGTGCGCATCCTCCACAGATAGGGCGGGGTGCAGGCCCTCAGGCTGTCTTCCACTGCTTTCCCAAGTAGGTATGCAGGAGCTAGATCAGACAGAGCTGCTAGGGCTTGAGTTGGTGCTACAGTGTAAGATGCCAGCATCACAGGTGGCAGCTTACCCCACTGCACCACAATGTTGGCACTGTCTTTCAAACAGGAGGTCCCAGTTTTCCCCTTTGCATTTCCTGTATGGTGCATAAATCACACCTCCCACCCCTTTTATAGCTTGACATAATGAGTAAGATTTTCCTGTGTTGGTTTGGGCTGTTACATTCGTAGACTGTTTCGTGTAGGATTATACCATAATCCATAATTTACCTGGTTACCACCAAGACGTTTGGATTGTTTCTAGACTTTTGCTATTAGTATATGAATATTTCTGTGTCTTCCGTAGTGAGTTTCAGTAGGGGTACATCATACACATGGTTAACTTTGAACAGTAGTTTTGTAAGCTCGTTTTGAGTAATATGAGAGGGGGTGGAGCGGGGTTATGAAGAGTGTGGGTGCTTAGAAAGGAATGACAGCCGTTCCCAAAACTGAAGAAAAGCTAGTTGACCAGAGAGTGGCTGATTGATTTACTGGAGCTTTTTTCCTTTCTTTTTCTCTTCTTTCTTTTTTTTCCCCTGTTAAAAAACAAAACAACAACCAAAAAAAAAAAAAACATGAGAGATAAAATTCCCTTCCTCTGGTTAGCCCATTCCTCTGGTTAGCTCCCCAGATGCCTGGGGCTGGACCCCATTTCAGCTAGGAACTAGAAGCTTCATCCAGATCCGAAGCAGTCACATGTGCACCTGTGTCAGTCAAAAGACATTTGCTCAGAGGTCTCTCCCGTCCCATATCACAGCCCTTGCTTCAAATCCTAGGCTGGCTCCTCATTTAGCTTCCTGCTAGCATGTACCGTGCCGGGCTCAAGTGTTTGCACCCCTGAAACCCTGCATGGGAACCCAGGTTGTGTTCCAAGCTCGTGCCTTTAACCTGATCCAGCTGTAGCTGTCACCATTGGGAAAATAAACCAGCATTTGGAAGATTCCTTTCTTTATGTCCCTGTCTCTATGCCTCTCAAAAAAAATGAAAGTAAATATTTAAAATAAACAAATAAATGAAAGCTGAAAGTTTCCCTGGAGGTGAGGCATATGATTTCACAGATCATTGGCTGGGATAGGGCTCTGTTTTTTTTTTTAAAGGTTTTAATTTTTTATTGTAAAGTCAGATATGCAGAGAGAGGAGAAAGAGAGGAAGATCTTCCGTCCAGTGATTCACTCCCAAAGGGACTGCAACAGCCGGTGCTGCGCCGATCCAAAGCCAGGAGCCAGGAGCTTCTTCCAGGTCTCCCACACGGGCGCAGGGTCCCAGTTCTTTGGGCCGTCCTTCACTGCTTTCCCAGGCCACAAGCAGGGAACTGGATGGGAAATAGAGTTGCCAGGATTAGAATCAGCACCCCTATGGGATCCCGGCATGTTCAAGGCAAGGACTTTAGCCACTAGGCCATTGCTCCAGGCCCAGGGTTCTGTTTTGGAAAATGATTCTGATATCACAGGATGGATCCGCATTACACCCTTTAACTCAACTGTTACTAATATGAGTTTACAGTTGTTATATCAGAGACAATGTGTCAGCTCACACCAGTGACCACTGGGGTAAATTCAAAGGAGTGGGAAGGGATTATTATTTGGCGATACTGTGATGGGACCAGCATAGTGGCTGACAGACTAACCCTCCACCTGCTTTGCTGGCCTCCCATATAGGCCAAGGTTCAAATCCTGGATATTCTACTTCTGGTCCAGCTCCCTGTTAATGGTCTGGGAAAGCACGGGAGGATGGTTCAAGACCTTGGACCCCAATGCTTACTTGGGAGATCTGCAGGAAACTTCTGGCTCCCAGCTTCAGAATGGTCCAGCTCTGTGTTGTACCATTGGGGAATGAACCTGGAAAAGGGAAAATTCAGTGTGTCTCCCTTTCTCTGTGTAACTCTGACTTTCAAGTAGAAATAAACATCTTTGTGAATGCTGTGGAGAGCATGTTTCTCATGCTGAACGTAAAGCAGATGTTTTATACATGTCCCTGTTGCGATCTCATCTGTGGTAGTCAGGAATGCAAAGGAAAACTCAAACAAGGGCTCTCTTAGAGGATAGGCAGGAAGCAGCTGGGGAAGACATTGCTTTTTTCTTTTTTTAAAGATTTATTTATTTTGGGTCCTGCAAAATGGCTCAATTGACTAATCCTCCTATTACAAAGCGCCAGTATCTCAAGTGGGCACCAGTTCATGTCCCACTGTTCTACTTCTCATCCAGCTCCCTGCTTATGGCATAGGGAGACAATGGAGGATGCCCCAAGTCTTTGGGACACTGTGCCCACATGGGAAATCCAGAAGAAGTTCCCTGGCTCCTGGATTCAGATCGGCTCAGCTCCAGTCGTTACCAGAGTGAACGAGCAGTTGGAACATTTTTTTGCCTCTTCTCTTTGGATCTGCTTTTCCAAAATAAATAAATAAATACGTAGATAAAATCTTTAAAAAAAGAAAATGAGCTGGTGAGCCACACACATTCAGAAGAAAGGCATGTGTTGTTGAGGATGCTAAAGAAAAGTGCGGTGACAAGAGTCAGTGGGAAGCTTTCTGAGAGCCTCAGTTCTTGGAGGGCCATCTTCAGAAGATGGAAAACACAGCAACAGCAAGGACCAGTGTGGGTGAGGTGTGCTCAAGGCAGGTGTCCCTGTGAGCCGAGCCTCAGGTCCGAAATAGGAGGAAGGAACCCCTCCTCTACAAGTGAGGAGAATGAGGGAAATTTTCAATAGTTTAAAACATTGATTTTTAAGAAATTTATTGGGACTCGTGTTGCCGTATAGGAGGAAGAGCCACTGCTTGTGATACCAGCATCCCACACTGGGTGCTGCCTTGAGTCTTGGCTGCTCCACCTCTGATCCAGCTCACTAACAATGCTCTGGGAGAAGCAGTGGAAGGTAGTCCAAATACTGGGGCCCCTGCCATTCGATTTGGAGACCCAGAAGAAACTCCAGGTTTCAGTCTGGCGCAGCCTTGGCCATCTGGGGAGTGAATCAGCGTTTGGATCTCCCCTTCTCTTGCTCTTAATCTATAATTCTTTCAAATAAGCCTTTAAATAAGTATATATATAATATATTGATATATAAATATATATTATACATTATATAATATACATTTATATATATTTAATATATATTTATATATATATAAACCAAGAAATGATTTTACTTTGACGACGTAGAGCTGCCATATACTTGGGATCAGTTCCTGGGGTTGGGCAGGTTCCCGTGTGCGTGTCATTGCTGCTGCCTTGCAGGGTCAGCCTTGGTGGGAACCTGCAGTCAGGAGCCAGAAGTCAGACTGAGCACTCACGTAGGAGACTTGGGCATCTTACCTGCTGACTGCCTACTGCCTTGAGTCATTTCTGAAAAGGAGAAGCAAGGACTGTTGAGCTAACTCCAGACAAAATTCTAGACTAGCTCATCATGAAGATGGCTTATGATCACCTATAAAAAGTCATTGATGGTTTTAGTTTGCTAACAAGTTTCGGCTCATTCCCTTCATTGATTGGCAGAAATGCTAATTACAGGAACAATACAGTTGTTGTATCTCATCGTTAATAGGCCTTTTGACAAGCTTTCCTTTTTATTTCAATGAATCAGAAAATGATGAAGCAGTTGAGTAAGGGGCCAACATTGTTATGCAGTGGGTTCAAAGCCAACTGACTGCAGGGCTTGCATCCCTGCTAATGCAGCCAGCAAGGCAGTGTCTGTCCTCACGAGAGGTGCTAGGGAAGCATGGTCACTGTCCCTAGATGCCCGAAGAGCCAGGCAGTGAATTTGTGGAATACACATCTACACTTTTGACATGGATTGCCTGACAATTCTCCAACAACCCACTGAGGTTCACATGCTTATCATTCTGTTTATGGAGACCCAAAAGAGTAAACTGAGTTGTGAGCTGTGAGTCACATGCTTAGAAATGGCAGGGCGGGAGCCCGGCCCAGCGGTGAGGCAGCCTCTGGCAGTGGAGTCCGCCTGCATGCTGCTGTGGCTCCCAGAAGAGGCGCTGAGTTTATTCTCCGTGGCGCTGTGGTGCGGAGAACACATCACTGGCTGCAGCTGGGAGTCCAGGGTGGGGAGGGAGCGAACCCTTCCACCATCACCCGGCTTCCTGGCACCTGCCTGCCAAGAACCAGGCAGACAGCTGACCTTCCTGGCCTTTTTTGTGGTCTCTCTGAGACTTCAGTGTGAGGTGTGGAAACTGTTTAGCAGTCAGTTTTTCCTATTTGCATGACAGAAGTATTGTACTGCTTTAAGAGCACATGTTCATTTAGCTTTGTGTATTTTGTTTTATGGCACATTTCCAATAATAATTTCTCAAACCATATTGTCATCAGAGTTTTTTTCTTGGAGGTTTTTTTTTTTCCTGATTGTAAAATTAGTCATTTTCATTGTGGAAATGCAGACTGAAAATTAAAAGCTGTTACACTGTGCTGAGAGATGACCATGGTATGAAATATGCCATTAAGTATTTTTCAAGGGAAAAAATTGACATTTTGTTTTAGATTCATCATTCACAGGGGGAAAATATTTTATTTTACTCAATTCTAAGGATTCCTTAATTTTTTTTAAAAAATTTTCCTTTTTTGGCCAGGTTTCTGCCTCAATGCTTAAGCAGTTTCCTAACAGTGGCCTGAATCCAGGTCTTTTCAATGTGGGGCCCCAGTTATCCCCGCAACAGATTGCCATGCTGAGCCAGCTTCCACAGATTCCCCAGTTCCAGTTGGTAAGTAGCAGATTTTCCTGTGATCCCTAAGGCTCGCTTTTTTTTATTTCTTTATTCTTTTATTTCCTTTATCTGTCTTTGCTGCCTTGAATGCCTTCAAGGGCCACTGGTTCACAATTTACAATGCACTGAGTATGATCAAGGGTTGGTAAGTCGGCCCAGCTGGAAGGGAAATGTAGGCAGGAGAGGTCCCTTCGGTTCTGTGTCCCCTGTGCACACTTCCGTCCTCGCTGTGCGGCCCCTCAGGAAGCCATGGTCCTTTCCCTTCCATATTTTGTAGGCCTGTCAGCTTCTTCTGCAACAGCAGCAGCAGCAACAGCAGTTGTTGCAGAACCAGAGAAAGATTTCTCAAGCTGTGCGCCAGCAGCAAGAGCAGCAGGTATGTGGCACAGGGAGGATGCCCCTGGTGCCCTGGGTGAGCAGTATGTCTTAGTGCTTGAGCACCCTTCTCCCCTAACCCCCAAACTGGGATAAGTCACTAACTGCTTGTCCTCTCTTCCTGGCGCTGGCCCTGCCCCTGCAGCTGGCCCGGATGGTGAGTGCGCTGCAACAGCAACAGCAGAGGCAGCCCAGCATGAAGCACTCGCCGTCCCACCCTGTTGGGCCCAAGCCACATCTGGACAACATGGTACCCAATGCACTGAATGTGGGGCTCCCCGACCTTCAAACCAAAGGGCCAATACCTGGATATGGTTCAGGTAAGTTGCTTGTCCTGAAAACTACCCTTTAGAAACTCCCTGTCTAAACCCACGATGGGCCACTATGTGATAGCGCTGGTATGTGGATTTGTGATATACCCACTATGTGATAGCGCTGGTGTGCCAAGTCTGTACAAGGTGGGTAGATGTTCTTGTTCCGAGTATACAGGCAAGGTGTTCAAGGCACTTCCAGTTTCTATGCCATCCAAAGCTCCCACCACACAGTACATAGTTGAGCCAAGCTTCCAACTTAGCAGACATTGACTTCATGTGTTTGTGAAAAGCAACCTGTTGTGCAGCTGTCATGGTCTATTGAAATGTACACAAGGCCCCAGCATAATGACTCAGTGGCTAAATCCTCACCTTGCATGCTCCAAGATCCCATATGGGCAACAGTTCATGTCCTGGCTGCTCCACTTCCCATCCAGGTCCCTGCTTGTGGCCTGGGAAAGCAGTCAAGGATAGCCCAGATTCTTGGGGCTTGCACCCACATGTGAAAACTGGAGGAGGCTACTGGCTCATGGCTTCACATCTGCTCAGCTCTAGCTGTTGCTGCCTGGGAATAAACCAGTGGATGGATGATCTTTCTGTTCCTCCTTTCTCTCTGTAAATCTGCCTTAAATTACAGTAAAAATAAATAAATAAAAATTTGAATGCTTAGCTAATCCTTTACTAAAACTCTGTTGTGAAGATATATGGCCTGTGATTCTGTGCTTTTAGCAAAACTGAAACTGTACCTAACCGTCTGGTCAGGTCATTACCTATCCAAAAATTCTGTTTTTGTGTCATTGGGTTAGGGAGAAAGATATGCACTCAACAAAGGAATGGAGAGAACTAAGTGATCTATAACAGGAGTCCTCCTTTTCCTTTCTTTAAGTTCCTCCATGAATAAGATTTTGTCATACTTTGTCATGAATATTTTTTAAATAGGACTTAGATGAGCACTTTCATTTCATACTGAGTCTTCATTTTCCATGGATATATGGAGTAATTGGACAACAAAATAATCTTGCTAGAGCCTGCTTTTCCAATATTTTACTTTTAATTAAGAATTCATCAAAATTAATAATATTGCCCTGGCACAGTAGCCTAGTGGCTAAGGTCCTCACCTTGCACTTACTGGGATCCCATATGGGTGCCGGTTCTAATCCCAGCAGCCCTGCTTCTCATCGAGCTTTCTGCTTGTGGCCTGGGAAAGCAGTCGAGGATGGCCCACAGCCTTGGGACTGTGTACCCATGTAGAAGATTCACAAGAGGCTTTGGACTCCTGGCTTGAGATCGACACAACTCTAGCCGTTGTGGCCACTTGGGGAGTGAGTCAGTGGACGGAAGATCTTCTCTGTCTCTCCTCTTCTTTGTATATCTGACTTTCTAATAAAAATAAATCTTTTTAAAAAATAGTAATATTTATGTGGGCTACCCAGTGAAAAGTGTAGAAGCATTTTTGATTATAATAGGACACATTTGTATTTATGTCAAATTGTGTCATGACCTGATTGTGTTAGGATGTATAATTGTGAATAGAGTTTTTTTCTTTTATGACTTACTGTTTTATCATTACAAAAACAGTAGAGTTTGTTTGTTTTAGATTTGCTTATTTTTATTTGAAAGACAGAGTTACAGAGAGAAAAGCAACAGGTTTCGTTCATCCTCTGGCTTACTTCCCAAATGGCCTCAGTGATCAGAGCTGGGCCAAGACCCAGATGCTGCTTCTGGGGCTCCATTGTGGGTGTAGGAGCCCACAATGTGAGCTTGAGCTGCCCTCCACTATCGGGGTCTCCTGTCCCGCGGAAGAAATTACCCAACACTTGAGAGTCTCCGAGGTGCTTCTATTCTGATCTTCCATTAAAAACCGTTATGTCTGTTGTTTCCATTACGCTGATGCCCCTCCCCTGCCAACACACACACACACCCGTTTAGCTGTCAAACCTGTCTAATCAGCTTAAAGATAACCAAGGCAGACCAACAGGGCAAAGGGCCAATCACAGGAAAGAAAATTGTCAGTGCCCCCAACACTCCACTGCTTTTCTAGCCGTAAGTGGGGAGCTGGATCAGAAGTATAACAGCCAGGTCACGAACCAACACTCATTTGGGGTACTCAGTGTCATGGGGGAAGAATTAGGCTATTAGCACCACAGTGCTGGTTCCGTGAGTGATCATGGCAAGGACACATTAATTCCAGTGTTTGTTCAAGATTGTAAGACATGGCAGCTAGTGCTGGCTGCACGATGAAGTAGGGTGTGAAGGCTGGAGAAAATGCCAGCTTCAAAAACAGCAAGGATGGTGCTAGCAGGAATGATCCACAATAAAGGGAAGTCCTGCTTAAAGGGGATCCCAGGAAGGCAGGGGAATTTGTCTTACCTCGGCCTGCACCTCAGCTAATACTGATCCTGGCAGACTGCTATCGACAAATGTCTGTTGAGCTGAACTTACTCTGAGCACAAAACAGCCAGTGGTGTTCCAGGTGCAAAGAACAGCATGGTTTGGAAGTAGTCCACCCATCGTTTCTGCTTATGGCACTATAACACACACACGCACCCAAGATTTGTTTGTTTTTTGCAAGAGTTACCGAGAGAAGGAAGGACAACAAATGAGAGTTCTAAGGGTTCACTTCCCAGCAGCTGCAGTTGCTGAGGCTGGACAAGGCTGAAGCCATCAGCCTGCAGCTTTACCCAGGTCTCCCCTGACGGTAATAGGGGCGTCTGCTACTGCATTCACAGATGCATCGGCAGGGAAGCGGGTCAGGAGCAGAGCGGCTGTGGCTTGAAGCAGTGCCCGTCTTAGATGCTGGCAGCACATGCTGTGGCTTAACCAACTGTCAAAGTGCTGGTCCCTGGAATCCTGCGTTGCTTTCAAAAGCTCTTTCATCGACCTGGCACAGTAGCCTAGTGGCTAAAGTCCTCGACTTGATGCACCAGGATTCCATATGGGCACCAGTTCATGTGCCGGTGGCCCCGCTTCCCATCCAGCTCCCTGCTTGTGGCCTGGGAAAGCGTCGAGGACAGCCCAAAGAAGTGGGACCCTGCCCCACGTGGGAGACCCGAAAGAGGCTTCTGGCTTCAGAATGGCAAAGCTCTAGCCATTGCAGTGTTTTGGAGAGTGAATCAATAGGTAGAAGGTCGTCTTCTCTGTCTTCTGTTTATCTGCCTTTCCAATAAAAATAAATACTTTCCCACTGCTTGGAGCTGACCTTTAGGTGGCCTGCTGTCCAGGTACTTAGCCTGCTTTTCACTCTCTCACACAAGCAAAAACATGATTTTTCCAAGAAGCATCCCTGGGGTTGCAGTATAAGAAAACCAATTTCTTTATATAAATAGTGATACTTCGGCTTTAGAAATTTTCAAATTTACTTTTTATTTCATTTGAAAGACAAGCAACAGAAAGATCTTCTGCCTGCTGTTTCACCTCCCAAATGGCTCCAACAGCCAGGTCTCTGGGCGAAATAGAAGCCAGGAGTCTGGAATTCCACCCAGTTCTCCCACATAGGTGCCAGGGACCCACGCACCTGGGCACATGAACAGGGAACTGGGTCAGAAGTGGAGTAGTCGGGCCTTGAACTCTGAAAGGGGATGCCAGTAACACTGGCCTTGGCTTTACCTCTCACAGCATACCACCAGCCCCTGCCAAGTTCTCTTTCTAAAGCATAAACCTTTTAGTCTTTTTCTCTCTCTCTCCCTTGCTTAAAAACTTCTACCTCAGAGAAAAAAGTACCAACTGTTTAGCCTGATAAAGTGAGAACCTACTTGACGGGACCTTTCATTTCTCACCATCCTCTGCCTCGCTTCATCCCCTGTCTGCTAAACTCTGGAGTCACGTTGAGCCTCTCCGTGTTCCCTAAACACCCTGAGTGCCATGAGTCGGAGTTCTGTGCTCAGTTTCCTGGGCCCCAGGACTGCAGAGCTTTTCCTCCCCAAATCCCAGACAGCCTTGGCCTGACCCTGTCTGCTTTTCTTGCATGTGGGCGTCCTGTGTCTTCGCCAGCTCAGGCAGGTGGCTAACCCCAGCTCACTGTCTGACACACACGTTGCTGAGTGAACACGCATGCACAAGTGTCCTCACCTGAATCTAACTCAGTGGCAATCTCACACACTTCCCCACATTAGCAAACAGCCGTCATTTTTATTTGAAAGGCGTAGACTGATCACAAAAGGGAGAGAACTCCCATCTACTGGCCCATCCCTGGGTGCCTGCAGCTGCTCCTCCAGGCTGGCCCAAAACCAGAGCCAGAAACTCAATCCAAGTTTCACATGAATCAGGAATTCAGCTCTTAGAGCCACCGCTACTGCTTCCCAGGATCTGCGTAAGCAGGAAAATGAAGTCAGGAGCCAGAGCCTGGTGCTGAACTCAGGCATTCTGCTGTGTAAACTACATCTCAACCGCTGGGTTAAACACCTGCTCCAAAGCCATCACTTTGTTACCAAACAAAAGCTAACACCAGAGATTTGAAACAGTGTGTGTGTGTGTGTGTGCGCGCGCGCACGCGTTTATGGACAGGTTTTATAAATTGGTGTTTGAGTTGACAAATGGAATCATCTATGGTTTGTGCCTGAGAGCCGACAGATTCTGGCACCGCAGTGTATAGAAAGGTGTGAGACAAGTTCTCTGTTGCAGGCTTCAGCTCTGGCGGCATGGACTACGGCATGGTTGGCGGAAAAGAGGCTGGGACTGAGTCTCGCTTTAAACAGTGGACCTCCATGATGGAAGGACTGCCCTCTGTGGCCACACAGGAAGCCAATATGCACAAAAATGGTGAGCGCCAGACACACACAGGAGTTGGCCTGTGCTGGGCCTGGTCCTGTAACACAGGTCCCCACTCTCCCACTCCCAACCTCAGGATCACTTTGGACAGGAAGATTGAGGCATTATTCTAGGTCGTAAGAAATTTAGCATGTCACTGGCTCTAATTATGGAGAGTGGAAGTTCCCATCTGCCATGAGACTGGAGCATCCATCAGGGTAAAAGCCCAGTAAATTGGCCAAGAGATTAGAATCAGTTCTTTTCTTTTCTTTTTTTCTCTTTTCTTTTCTTTTCTTCTCTTTGAATAAGACATCACTAGAGAGAGAGATTGGATTATTAGACTCATCAGCTTTAAAGGAAAATTCTATCCTTTAATCTTCAAAAGGTGGTATGTCAGAGTATGTGGATTCGAACTTAACCCAGAGCTTCCTTGTTCTTTTTGACTTGTGTATCTTCCTGACAGCAACTGAGGCCATTGCAGACTTGCTTGCAAATGTGAGCTGACTCTTCCTCTCCATAACTCTGTGATGGCATCTCCATTTCCCTACAAACGAGATGAAAGGCCTCAGCACCTTCCTCCAGCCTTTGTTTCTGTGTGTTTCATCTGACAGTAATTTGCTTGGACACCTCTGTATCCATGAGAACCAAGCATGAAACAGTGTCTGGGCTTTTCTGCCACAGCGCCCTGCCTGACCCTCAGCCCAGCCGAGCCGTTCAGGCTGCGGGCTTCCAGGTCTCTTCGCTCCAGTAAGCCAGTCAAGGTGCTGACGGAGCTCCAAGGCACCTTCCATCTCCTCTGCATAAGCCCTGGTGTTTAATTTTGTGGCCCCAAAACTAAGAGTAGCTTCCTGAAATTACAAAGTCTGTTCCCAAGTCGGGCTTCGAGTCCTGTGTCATCTGTAGCTTTGGATACTTCCCCTGCTTCTTTTGGCTGTTGAGTCACTAAATCCTCATCCCCAGCGACGTGGCAGGTGTGTGATGGTAAAACAGTGGCGTACGACCAGCCGTCTTGAAGGTGAAATCTTCACTTGGCCTTTCTTAGAGCTTATCGCTGATGTGTTCCCCATTTCCTTAGCAATCCCCAAGGAAACCGACTTACTCATTTCCCACTACTTCATGCCAACATACCCCTAAGCCAGATTTCTCTCAGGGACTCCACAATAGCAAAAGTCATCTTAGCTGAGCATGGAGATGGTTTTGATCATACTCCTTGTTAGGCCAAACCAAACTGATTACTGTAATCAGCAGTTGCACAAATGTTTTAAGCTGTTACCCTGGGAACAGTGTTATCTGTTCTGAAGCAGCATCCTAAGAGTAGATCAAGTGACACGGTGCAGTACCTGAAATTCATTTGAGGAAACAGAGTAGTATCCCATAGACATCCCTCAGCTTTCTCTAAGGCAAAGCACTCCTGTTTCTTATTAGTTTGAGAACTTTAGGCTCTTATCTCCCCCCATCTTCCCAGTAAGCATATACAATGTATGAAAAGGGCACCTGAGAGCCCGCTGAAAAGCCCCCAGCAGGCAGTTCCAAAGGGGCTGCTGTGGCTCGTGTGTGAGGCAGCCAAGCTCAGAGCCGCAGGGCTCCCTGCTCATCCTGTGCTGGCAGAAGCACTAGGCGGGGATGCTGTCTCATTGCCTTGGGATTGAAAGCAATCACAGGTGCTTTGCGCTCCGGCGGACTCTGTTTATGCTGCTGCTTCTAGCTCAGCCAAGGCCTAGCCCGTGCTGAAGAACGTGGGTGGAGAGCAGCTAAAAGCCCTCCTAGGTGCTTCATTTGTTCAGTATTTTTCCCACTCTCAAATTGTTAGCACAGACATTGTGAGGGTAACAATATGATTTTCAGATTGTGAACATTTCCTGAATTTCGTTAAATGACAGGGTTTTGAAACCAAAAGGAGTACTCAGGAGTGGGCAGCATCCCGTACGTAGCCCTGAGACAGCGAGAGGTTCTGGAAACTCCCCTCTGTCCGCTGTGCACCAGGCCCAGGGCAGCCTCTGCTTCCGGGACTCTGTGCTCCACAAGCTTCCAAAGGCTCAGCTTGTTTATGTCTCTGAAAGGAAAAATAGGCAAGCAGAGTGCTACATCTGAGTGCATCGTTTCCTTTCTCATTTCTCAGGCGCTATAGTAGCCCCGGGGAAGACCCGAGGAGGGTCACCCTACAACCAGTTTGACATCATCCCAGGTGACACACTGGGTGGCCATACGGGTCCTGCTGGTGATAGCTGGTTACCTGCCAAATCTCCACCAACCAATAAACTCGGAAGTAAATCCAGCAATGCCAGTTGGCCTCCAGGTATGTGCGGGAAGTGATTCCCGGAGCTTATTTCTGGCACCGTTTTCCTGAAACATTCATTCTCTCTGCTCAGTTAGGAATAATCATCTGATAGGATCAGAGCGTGTGCTGTAAGACACATACTGTGGGAAGGTAGAAAATCGACGTTAGGGACGGAGCGTGAGGGAATGCTGGTGTTGTCTGGGTCTCGGCGCTCTCCCTGCACAGGTGCCTGGTAATGTGGGCCGTGTCTGTCGGGCTGATGTGGTTTTCTTTTGCAAGAAATGGGAAAGATCACCGACCTTGAGCCCAGATCTTTCTCATACTTCTTGCCTTGGTGCCTGGACAGTTCTTTAAGCACCATGATGTTTAGCCCTGCTTCTCCTCCTCCAGGCCTAAATTCCCCTGGGAACAGGAGAGTCAGGTTACAGGGCCAGGCAGGGATCCAGGAGCCTCAGCATACAGTTCGCTAGACAGACATCTTATCCTGGGGAGTTCCTAGGAAGAGGATGTGTTTAGGCTGCTTTTAATTTATATTTTGTAATGATGAATGTCTGAGACACAGTACATCCAAGCATCTGGACTTTTCATAGAACCATTTCTTGTATTTAAAAAATGATTTTAACTTTCGAATGTTTTCCTGCCCCTGACATTTGTTGTTCTTATCTCAGAATTCCAACCAGGAGTGCCATGGAAAGGTATCCAAAACATTGACCCTGAATCTGACCCCTATGTCACCCCAGGAAGCGTGCTGGGGGGCACAGCCACATCTCCCATTGTAGATACTGACCATCAGCTGCTGCGGGATAACACCACAGGTGAGCGGGGCAGGCAGCGATCTGTAGTCATCCATCGGTGGCTTTGTGCTTGCCAGTGTCTCGTGGTTTAACCTGAAGATTTAGAATATTGCTTTGTACGTTTTTATTTTCTGGATACATTTTGTTCTCCTATTGTAGTTTAAAGAAAATACTCTGCAAAGTTTGGCTTGTTATATTGACATTCATGTTAACACTCACTCATTCTTCTTTCTCACCCCAAGGGTCTAATTCTTCCCTCAACACCTCGCTGCCTTCACCTGGTGCCTGGCCCTACAGTGCCTCTGACAACTCCTTTACCAACGTTCATAGCACTTCAGGTACCTGCAGCAGCCTCTTGGTTCTCTTTGGTGGCACTTCCCTAGCAGGGTCCCCTTTGTGAAGGAATCTGGAGTGCATTTCTCAAGGAAACCTTCGTCGGAAGTCAGATTGATGGAAGCACAGCTTTGTGTTTGCCATGTCCTCAGGGACACACAGCAAAAACAGGCATGCTTTCAGAAGTTAGGGAACCTGGGACGAAGAGGTAAATGTATTTAGATGTGAAAACTTAAAATTCACACCAGTGAGAATGCTTCGCAAAGCTCAAGAAAAATTAATCTCCCCTGGCTGCCCCCCAAAAAAGAACAATTTCAAAAGAGTTTGCGTTAGAATACTCTATCCCACATAACACAAACTTTTTTTTTTCCTTCTTTCCATTAAGGACTTGTTTGTTTATTTGAAAGGAAGACTTAGAGAAGGATCTGCTTGTTAACTCCCCAAATGACTGCTAGAACCAGGCCAAAGTCAGGAGCCAGGAGCTGTTTCTGGGTCTCCCATGTAGGTGCAGGGAGATGAACTGGGGCATCCTTCACTACTTTCCTAGGCATGTTAGCAAAAAGTTGGATCAGAAGTAGAGCAACCAGGACTAGAACTATTGCCCACTTGAGATCCTGGCACTGCAGGCCACAGCCTCATCTGCTATGCCGTAGCACCAACCACCCACAAACTTTCTGAAGTGCCCTCATGTAGCTTCAGGACAGGGCTTGAGGTGACATCGACTTGGGGAGCTGGGACATGTCTAGAAGGCAGAGGCCATATCTGGGTGACACCAGTGGTTGCTCAGCCAGCATGCCTAGGGACAACCCTGAACCTCCAAGACAGCAGTGGTCAGCTCAGCCAGCAGACGCAGGCCTAGCTGGACGGTCGCAGAAGGAGAGAAGACCCGACAGCAGTAGTCAGCCCAGCCAGCAGACAGGCCGAGCTGGACGGTCGCAGAAGGAGAGAAGACCCATCACTGGCAGCAACATTTGTTGAGTTCCTTATGTTTTGGAAAGACATGAGGGAATGCAAAAGCTCGCGGATTTAACTCAGGCTTGGAAGCCGTTCACATGTGCCTCACAGATTGCTAGATAGTAACTGGCACCTTGGCTTTGGGAAAGGTGGATTTTTTTTTTCAGAATTTATTTATTTTTACTTGAAAGGCAAATTGACAGAGAGGAGAGAAGAGAAAGATCTTCCATGTGCTGGCTCAAACCCTAAATGCCCACAATGACCAAAGCTGTGCTGATCCAAAGCCAAGAGCCAGGAGCTTCTGGGTCTCCCACACGGGTGCAGGGTCCCAAGGCTGCTGGCTGTCCTCTGCTGCTTTTCCAGCCCACAAGCAGGGAACTGGATGGAAGCAGGGCTGCCAGGATTAGAACCGGCACCCAGTGGGATCCCAGCGCATGCAAGGTGAGGATTGAGCCACTGAGCCATTGTGCTGGACCCACACAGGTGAATCTTATGCCATTAGAGTCATGAGGCCTTCCTGGCTCTGTCAGGAAAGGCAAGGAAAGCAAATCCCTAGCTCCGCAGAGGCGTCCCTGATCACCCTCTTTCTCGCTCACCTGTCACCAACTGTGCTTCACTCCAAGGCAAGCACATGGGAGACCTTCAGCAAGAGGTGTTTTGTTTTTGTTTTCAAGATTTATTTATTTTGTATTGGAAAGTCAGATATACAGAGAGGGAGATCTTCTGTCCACTGATTCACTCCCCAAGTGGCCTGAACAGCCGGAGCTGAGCCGATGTGAAGCCAGAAGCGCAGAGCTTCTGGGTCTCCCACGCGGGTGCAGGGTCCTGAGGCTTTGAGCCATCGACATCTACTGCTTTCCCAGGCCACAAGCAGGGAGCTGGATGGGAAGGGGAGCAGTCGAGACACAAACTTGCACCAATGTTGGATCCCTGCACGTGCAAGGCGAGGACTTTAGCCACTAGGCTACCACGCCGGGCCCTCAGCATCGGTTCTCAATTTTGCCTCCACTACCCTGCCATGAGTAGATCCTGTTGTTATCCCATTTGTGGATAAAGAAGCTGAGGTTCCAGAGCTCACATAATTTGAGCTTCCAACTTCTGTTGTGTGGAGAGCCGTGTTTACACCCGAGTCTGTCTGTCTGTGAATGTCCAGATCTCACACTGGATCCTGCTGAATGTTGGTGTGCGTAGATCATCTACCGTGGGCGTGCTTCCCCGAGTGCGCTCTCCCTGTGCATCACTGAGCCCTGGTGCCCTGCCCGCCCAGCACCGTGTGGGCATGTGTGAGGCTGGCACCTCCAGAGGGCTTTATTTTGCTCTTCACTTCTGCTTGAGGCTTGGGTCCCATGGCTGAGAAATTTTTTTCACCCTGCCTGTTTTTTTTTTTTTTTTTCAAGAATTATTTTTTGGGCCCGGCGGCATGGGCTAGTGGCTAAAGTCCTCGCCTTGAATGCCCCGGGATCCCATGTGGGCGCTGGTTCTAATCCCAGCAGCCCCACTTCCCATCCAGCTCCCTGCTTGTGGCCTGGGAAAGCAGTTGAAGACGGCCCAAAGCCTTGGGACCCTGCCACCCACATGGGAGACCCGGAAGAGGTTCCAGGTTCCTGGCTTCGGATCGGCGCAGCACCGGCCGTTGCGCTCACTTGGGGAGTGAGTTAGTGGACGGAAGATCTTCCTTTCTGTCTCTCCTCCTCTCTGTGTATCTGACTTTGTAATAAAAATAAATAAATCTTTAAAAATATGTATTTATTTTTATTTTTTATTAGAAAGTTAGATATACAGAGAAGAGGATTTTCCGTTCAATGGTTTACCTCCCAAGCAGCCTCAACAGCTGGAGCTGAGCTGATCTGAAGCCAGGAACCCAGAGCCTCTTCCAGGTCTCTGATTGGGTGCAGGGTCCCAAAGCTTTGGGCAATCATTGACTGCTTTCCCCGGCCACAAGCAGGGAGCTGAATGGGAAACGGGGCTGTCAGGATTAGAACCAGCACCCATATGGGATCCCAGCGCGTTCAAGGCAAGGACTTTAGCCACTAGGCCACCACGCTGGGCCCTCATCGTTCTTTAGGTGCCCCATGCTATGCCTACTGCATAAAAGCCTGAGAGCATCCTGGTTGGGCCTGCCCGGCTTGGGGCTCCTGGTCCTCTGCCCCTCAGTAGGCTGTTCCGTCAAGATCAGGGGCGATATACCCAATGCAGGGACTTCACACTGAAGCTTGATTTGCCTGTTTGATCTTGCCCGTTTAGGAACATTGTCCAGGGGCTTTTCTTTGCAGCACAGCATTTTCTTTCCTGTCTGTGTTAAAGCTCTGTAATGTTGCTAGGGTTTCTAGTTGTGTCATTCATCTGTCCTTCCCTCCCTTTTGAACTCGAGTTTCTTGAGTGTAACTGCCTTAGGATGGCATTGATTTAGTGTTATGGGCATGGAGTATTTAGTGAATATTCCTTGTTTTACAAAAAAAAGTGTGGAAGTGTTAATATCTAATATGCTGGATTAAGGTACCTGAAAAATATAGCTCTATAGTGTACTTGTCATCATTTAATGAGTGTTTAGAACCAAGAAAACTTAAGTGCTGCTGTATAGTTCACATCCTGATCACAGCTGTGAAACTGATGGCGCCTGCGTGCTTTCCCTCAATCTTGTTCTTCCTTTCCAGTGTTTGGCCAACTTGAAAGAAGTAGGAATGAATATTATTAAATCTTGTTGTTCAGAGACCAGTGTGGTGGTGCCTCAGGAAGGTCGCCCACCCTTTGGCCCCGGCGTACCTCATAGGCACCAGTTTATGTCCCAACTGCTCTGATTCTGATCCAGCTCTCGGCTTATGGCCAGGGAAAGCAGAAGAGGGTGACCCCAAATCCTTAGGACGCTGTACCCATGTGGGAGACCTGTAAGAAGCTCCTGACTCCCAGCTTCAGATCGGATCAGCTCCGACCTTCGTGGCCATTTGGGGAGTGAATCAGCAGATGGAAGACCTCTTTCCATGTGTCTTCTCTGCGTTTCAAATAAAAATAAATACATCTTTTTAAAAAAAAAAATCTAGGAGAACAGTCTTGTCAATTTGGAAGTGTTGCATTCAGTAAGCTTAAAGGAAGAATGCTATTTTGTATTTCTCAGGAGAGGTCATTCCTGTTACTTTATACAGTACAAATGAGTGTGGAGTGGCTGTTGAGCTGACAGGCTCCTGACTCCAGCTCCCTGCTAATGTGCTACCCACAAGAGAGACCTGGCCCAAATTCCTGGATCCTGGCTCTAGCCAGGCCTGGTCAGAGCCATTTTGAACATAAATAAATAAATTTTTAGAAAAAGTTAAAAGAAAGGATATAAAGGTTCTATGTATTTATGTACCCTCAGAATCTAAGTATACATGTCAACGAAAGGCCAGCATCTAATCTTATTTTTTCCTGAATTTTCTCTTTCAGCAAAGTTCCCTGATTACAAATCAACATGGTCCCCAGACCCCATAGGACACAACCCCACTCATCTCTCCAACAAGATGTGGAAAAACCATATTTCCTCCAGGAACACTACACCGCTGCCCCGCCCGCCTCCCGGTCTGACTAACCCCAAACCGTCATCTCCCTGGAGCAGCACAGCACCCCGATCAGTCAGGGGGTGGGGGACGCAGGAGTCCCGGCTTGCCTCGGGTGAGAAGGGGCTGCCCGAAGGAGCATCCATCCTCCACAAAGGGCTTGTGTTCACGCAAACGGTGGAGACATGAAGAGGGCTTCACAGCAGAAAGTCGTGGTTTTCTGGTAGAGGAAAAGGGTAGATGCCAGCTGGTGTGAAGCAGAGGAACCCAAGAGCTGCCAAGCTCATGTGGGTGAAAATGAGACCTAGGGGAGTGGGCACATTGGCAGAATAGTGTGTTGCGAGTAAGACGCAAGGCAAGTGAACAGGAGTCCAGAGCCAGTAGAAACGTCAGGTGCAGAGGGAACTGGCGCAAGCAGGGGGTGTGGGCTGGGCGTGGCAGGGCTGCCCCGTGTGTGTCTGGCTGCCTCCTAATCACTTGTGGTTGCTCACAGCCTCTGCCTGGAGTGACGGTGGCTCGGTCCGTCCTAGTTACTGGCTGGTTCTTCACAATCTCACTCCTCAGGTAATCGCACCTTCCTGTGGTTTCCTAGATGGAACTGAATTACAGTTAGAGGGAGGGGAGCCCAGAGGTGGAAGGGCAGCAGGGCTCAGAGCTGTAGAGGTCTTGCCTGCAGGAAGTGGGTCTCTCTTCCCACCGAGGTGCACTGCCGGCTTCCGGAAAGGGTGCTGGCTCTCCCCAGCTTCACGCCTGTCTGAGGCAGTGGTAACAGGTGCAGTTCCCGGAGCCTGAGAGCATGGTGGACAGTATTGCTGTGATTTCTGTGGATTGGAGATCATTTACCATATAAACATGCCTGTCGGAACCTGGAACCCAGTGGTGTTTTTAAGTACTCTGCAAAAAGTCGTCTGTTTTTTACCTGATAAGACCTGAGACTCAGTAATAACCTTTTTTGTCTTTCCTGACTGATGAATCACTGGTCCCTACAGTAGAAGGCAGTTGTCAGTTTCACTGCATAAAAGCCCTCACGGGGCTGGAATGTGGGCAGAGCTGCCAACTCGCTAGCCTCTGGGTCGGCTTGTCGGTGAGGGGTAGCCTCGCACTGACTGCCCGCCCCTCCGCCTTGGTTGCTCCGTAAGTGGTGCATTGGTGGAAGGATTAGCTTAAACACTGATGCAGTTAATGAATTCATGACAGCTTAGGCCCTGGCCTTCATGTGGATTTCTAACACCTTGCTGAAAGGAGTCAGTTACGACTTCCGCTTTTTGACATGGAATGTTCTGTCTGGCATTGACTTCGTCCATTCATATGCTCTGTTACACCAGCACTTGCCAACGTGTCCCCATGAGATACTGGTAGGTGTCTGGCCTAATTCATTTGAGATATACCCTTGTTTAAACAAAACTAAGCAAGTTTATCCATTGTCAGGTTTCTTAGGCCTTTCATTGTGCTGATACTGAAGAACCTAAGTTCAGATGAATAAATCTAAATGCACACACAAGAGACACCACTCAGACCAGTCACTCTGAGTGCACTGCTTGTGTACCAAGAGGTATCTTGAGTACTGCTGCAAATGCAAATGCCTACCATGTAAGTTTAATTAAAAAAAAAAGAAAGAAAGAAAGAAAAAGATTTATTTACTTGAAAGAGCAGCAGAGGGGAAAAGATGGACAGAGATTTTTTCCATCTGCTGGTTTATTTCCAAATGGCTTCAATAACCAGCTCTGGGCCCACTGAGTCGGGAGCCAGGAGTTCCATCCTGTTCTCCCTCAGGGACCCCAGTACTGAGGCCGGCATCTGCTGCCTCCCCAGGCGTGTTAGCAGGAAGCAGGCTTGGGAGGAGAGCAGCCTGAATTTGGGTGCTTCACACTGTGATGCTGGTGGCATCACATTGCACAACCATGCTGGCCCCTATAAATTTATTTTAGCTTACCTAAATTTGTTTATAGAAGATCTGTGTGTGTGTCTTGAAAAGTCAGTTGTGGTATATGCAAACTAACCTGCTTCTGTGGTAAATTGTCACTTCTTAAGCAGTACTCAGAACAGGTTGATTGTTGTAGTGCTGGTTTTCATCCTGTGATGTTTCCGCCACTGCCAATTCCCAGTATCACGACTTAAGGCAATTCCAGCAGAAATCTGTTTTTCCAAAGAAGCGCACCGAAATGTGTAGTTGAGTGACTACAACAAACACATTTAAGACATTGCTGCGGATTAATCAGAGTGAGCCGGTGTGTTCCTCTAACTCTTAGCACGCTGTCTCTCCACACTGAATCCGTGATGTGACCACAGTGTGACCTGGTCGACAGTCCCCACTTTTGCCACGAAGGAGGCAGGGAGACAAGGGCAGACGATATTGCCTGGAGTTGTTCTCAGGAGTGAGGCAGTGCCGGAACCGAGTGTGTCCACCGCCAGCATTCCGATCATCCAGATGTTTGTCCGTGCTTCTCTGAGACTTTCTTTTGAGCCTTCTCCAGATTGCTGACTGGAAAAGCAGAATACCTGCTGAAGACTGTGTGAGGTTCTTCTTTTGACACCATTTCATCTCTCCCTTTTTAGGACTATATTAGATTGAACTGCTAATTACGGGTTAAAACAGTGTTATTTGTTTACGTTAAGGCAAGACCACAAGTTGAACCGTATGTACCTGCTTTGGTCCAGAACTGGGTTTGTGTGGGCAGAGCTTGTCAGATCAGTGTTTGGATTGTACTGCACGTGTGCCTTTCACCCCACGCCCGGCTGGCGTCTCACGTGTGTCATTCCTCCTCAGATTGACGGGTCAACCTTGAGAACGATCTGCATGCAGCACGGCCCACTGCTGACATTCCATCTGAATCTAACCCAGGGCACCGCCCTGATCCGATACAGCACCAAACAGGAGGCGGCCAAGGCGCAGACAGCACTGCACATGTAAGTCCTGTGCCCTGTCCCCACGGAGACACACGTGGGAGGAGGAAGCACCGTGAGTGTCCTGGCTCCTGCGAGATGAAGAGGCTCAGCAACACGCACACGTGCGTGGGCAAACCTTGAGTGAGGGGGGTGGCAGGTTGTTAGTGGAGGGAAGAATTCCAAATGTAAGTAATTTTTGTGAAGTTTAAGTACTGAAAACCAAAGCTAATACTAATTAAAAGGAACCACACTCATAGTGCCTTGGTTCACAGATAATGGTAAATTATAATGGTCTTGCTAGGTAGAGGGGTGTCTGCTCCAAGTAAGTGAGACGGGGTCAGATTTTGGCCCCTGCCACACTATTGGACAGAAGAGAGCTGACTGCCTTGGAATGCAGCCCCAGCTGTAACAGCCTCTTTGCTGCAAACTGGTGCTTTGGGACATGGTCTTTCATCTTGCTTGGAAAGACACGACACTTCTTCCAGCATTTGCTTGTAGTAGTTTCAGATTCACAGCAATATGTCCCACCTGTGTTCCTCGTCCCATACATCTGTGCACTGACACAAACGGCAACCTCATCATTGTTGTCTTCAGCCCACAGTTTACACAGGAGCTCATGTGGACATTGGTCCTTCCCTGCAGGTTTGAGCCAATGGTTAGTGCCACATGTCAAACCTTGCTGTAGAGTACGCAGGCACAGAGGCGTTTCACTGCCCTGTCTCTCCCCCCTCTCCGCAGATGCTGTGCTCTCACTAGCTGAGTGATCTGGAATGTATGAATTCCTGTAGTAAACTTTGCCTGGCTTGAGTTAATGATGCTCTGTTACTTTGAGTCAGTGGAAAGGCAGGTTCCAGGCCAAAGGCCAGGATGGGCCCTGTGACCACAGCACATCGGGGGACTGTGCCGTGATGGTCGGGACAGAAAGCCCTTGCATGTGCACATTGCAACTTCCTCAGACCCATTGCTCTCTTTCCTTCCCTTGCCCAGGTGTGTGTTAGGAAACACTACCATCCTGGCTGAGTTTGCCACCGATGATGAAGTTAGCCGCTTTCTGGCACAAGCTCAGCCTCCTACGCCTGCAGCAACCCCAAGTGCACCTGCCGCAGGGTGGCAGTCGCTGGAGACAGGCCAGAACCAGTCAGACCCCGTCGGACCTGCTTTGAATCTTTTCGGTGGGTCCACTGGGCTCGGGCAGTGGAGCAGCAGTGCTGGTGGCAGCAGCGGGGCCGATCTTGCTGGCGCTTCGTTGTGGGGACCCCCAAACTATTCTTCTAGCTTATGGGGAGTCCCGGCTGTGGAAGATCCCCATAGGATGGGCAGCCCTGCTCCTTTACTACCTGGTGACCTTCTGGGAGGAGGGTCTGATTCAATCTGAACTTAGAACTTTCAACTCTGACCTCGTGACCTTTTTTGGAACAGCAGCAGCACTAACTTGACCTTTTCGTTTTTTTTTCAACTTGCAATAAATACATTTTTAAAAGGAAAAAAGAAAACGGAGAGAGAAAAAAAGGTGGGTCATTGACAGACTGTCTGAGCACATAGTTGCCTCCCTTATAACTTCAGTTTTTCGTTTGGAAAATGAATCCAAAAAGAGAACATATCACTCTTGAAATACTTGAATCATGAACGCCAACCTAGAAAGACAATGTGAAGCAAGTACACATACCATTTAAATTTAAACACAAAAAAATTAAAAAAATTAGTTTCTAGTTTTTCACTTTTTTCATGTTATATGGAAGTTGTTGCTAAGAAACATATATACTGAAAAAAATAGCTTTTTAACTTTGTTTGCACTGGGTGTGTTTCCGTCCTTAGGTCTACCATGTTTGGGAGGGAGGGAAATTCTAAAGAATTGTTGGGGGAGGGGGGGAGGGAAGACTTGACGGAGCCTCACTTTAAAAACAAAAAACACAAAAAACCTAAAAAAAAAAAAAAAGGAAAAAATTTGTGATTGGCTGGTTGATAAATACCAGTATATTCTGGCACATGTAACTGCCCAGGCATGCTCGTCCCGGTATGTGTGTGCACGTGTGTTCATGTGCATCCGCGTGCATCTTTCTCTGTCTCTGTGTGTGTGCCTGTGTCCCCGCCCTGATTTCCCAGAAAGCTGCGTCGCTGACCGTGGCTGCAGGCTGGCTGGCCGGCCATCTGCTTTGGATTTTTGTTTTCTTTTTGAAACTCTTGAGAACACACAAGCACCGGGAGCCACTGCGACTAAAGCCACTCCGTGGGGCTGCGTTGAGATGGACAGAGTGCTTTTTTAATAACTGAAGCAGAGAGCTCCTCTCCGCTTGCAAATCGGCCCGAGCAAATCGGTGAGCTTTCTGTGGCTTTTCTTTGACCTAGCGGTAGAGCGGAGCACTGCCAAGTCCACAAAACTAGGAGAGCAGGAGGCACCTCTTTCTGTTTTGCGAACTGAGCGGCCAGGACGCACGTCTGAGTACCTGTTGAGCGCCATGCGGGGGCCATTAGAAGAAAAGGCCCTTTAAAGTACGCGATGTCTCCAAAGGGGAAACCTGTGGGTCAAGTATGAGCAATCCAGCACAGAATCAGGTGGGATGCAGAGCTGAATGGCCGCCTCGGTTCTCTTTTCATTTGACGGAAACAGGAAACACTAAGTGGTGGACAGCCTCCGGAAAGCTCCCCGCAGCCCGGCCCCTGGGCCTCGACGTGTTACAGGCCACTGCTGACAGAGATGTTTACCTAACGAATGTCCTTAAGCCAGTGTATACTCCGTGCGATTCCTTTCGTCTCTCTGTATTTCCTGTATATGTGGTTTTGCTTAGGCAGGTATAACTTAGCAGAGACTTTTTAAGTATTGCACCTTTTTTTTTTGACCTCTTTCTTTCCCCTGCCCTTGTAATGTTCCTTTTTTTTTTTTTTAAATTTTGGTATTTAAAGGTTTTGTTGCTGTTATTGTTGTTGTTTTAAGCATCAATGTAGTAGTACTCTGGGCCGAACAGGGGGCGTTTAATCCACAGTTACCACCAACCAACATGTATGTATTTATGTTGAAATCCAAATGTATCAGACTGCTTATGGTGAAGAGAGTGACAACAGATCTAAAGGGGTCCCCCTTTTAGACAAGCAGATGGCTGGCAGGGTTGGGGGCTGGGTGCTGGCGACCTGCAAGCACTCACGTGGACATCCCGGTCTACGTCATCCTGTGTGACATCAAGTGCCCACATTCTGTACCAGCAAACACCTGCCCGTTCCAGCCCTTGGTGGGAGCACACCTCCTGTCCTCCACACCCTGCTGCTAGTGAGGACGAGGGAGTTCTCATTTCTTAGCATTTTCAGTGAAGGATACAACGATGCCTAATGTATTTGACCTCTCGCTTGTGTCTCTGTGTAGGTGGGTGGGTGGGTGGGTGCGTGTAGGAAGAGGCAAAAAAGGCATTATTTGCATTTTAATAATTCTGTGAGACAAAGAACGGGAAAGTCTGTATTCCTTGGCTTACTTAAACCTGTTGATTATAAACCTAGCCTCAAAATAGATTGACAGGTGTAATTCAAGTAAGCGTGCGCGTGTCCGAGTCTATGTGAGCCCTGTGTGCGTTGGTGGCCAGACTCGAGTTTGCAGCATTGTGTTGGTCCCATGGATGCCTTGTTGAACACTGAGCATGCCCTCCTCCTGCTTGCCAGTTCTTGTCACCACCACGCTTCTTGCACCTCTGCCCCACACAGTCTCCTTCCACCAGCCCTGCTGGTTGCTCTGTATGTGTGGAGGCCTCCAGGAGAAGCACAGCTTCTGTTGAGACACTTGCAGAAGGCTAGTCCCAGGGCCAGGAGCACACCCTGAGGCTCCCACAGGCCTTAGGTGACTTCCGCTGATGCTCTTGGTTCCTTGCTGTGTCCTGCCCCCACCCTCCTCTCCTTCTGCCTGCTGGTCCCTTGACCTGCACTATGAGTTAGTTGAGTTCCTTACGATACTACGGTGAATGCCGGGTGCTAGAGCCCCTCTTGTTTACAAGACATAATGAGGGATTTGAAATATGTAAAAATAAACACGAGAAGCTAAAATGTTCTTCCATCATAAGCTTAAAGGGAAAAAAAAGTAAAAACTTAAAAAAAAGACCAAAAAGTGTGTGTGTGTGTGTGTGTATATACATATACGTATATATATACACACACACATATATATACATATAAATATATATTTTAGGTGAAGACTAACTCTGGGAGCATTTAACAGTGTTTTTTTGTTTCTGTTTTTGTTTTTAACATTTATTTTCCTGCTTTAAAATTTGCAAGCATTCTCAGGAATTCTAGGGTAGGAAGCCAGTTTTTGAAGATGGTTTATTTAACCGTATCTTATCCTAGATAGATGGCTGTTTCTTTCCTGTTGATAAACTTTTACAAAGTTCCTGAAACTTCAGAAAGTTTAAATAATTTTTACTTTTAAAAATGTAAAAAGAAAAGTCTCCAAATGTTATTGTCATACTGGGGATCACACATTTTAAAACGCATAGAAATATTTTTTAAATTTATCAATTTAGCAGCAACAGGTTAAATTCATTATCTTAAAGAAATATGGGAGAAGGATTACATTTTCTAAGAGCTGCGTCTTGGGCTCGTTTGAACTGAAGTGACTGAGCAGGAGAACGTTTGGTGCCATTAAATGGGAATGCCACTGTCATCTTGTTCCTTCCCGTTTAAGACTGAACTCAGACTCCTCTAGTTATTTTTATTTTGTTTGAAGAAGCCCTTCTCCCTCTTCTCCTGTCAAGCCCCAGCAACAAAAGAAAGAAACAACCACTTAAAAAAAACAACAACCTGTAAGACTAGTATAGTTGGATTGCTGAGAATATGTAGAGTTAAGAAATGATAGGTAAATAATTTTTGGAACAAATTTTAATTATAGGCATTACTATAGGAAAATTATCTATGGACTGTTCTATTAATGAAGAATGTCTGTCTTCCTCCACCTGTTACTGGAGGAGGAGACAATAGAAAAGAATCTAATAAGGAACAAGTGATTTTGCTTTCTTCGCTCCCGACTCCTGTGCTCATTGTCATTGCTGTAGTGAGGATCTGCTGCTCAATTGCCCCCATCCCTCAACCAGAGATGTGGAGTATTTCCTTCCGGTTTTTGATGATGTCAGATTCTCCTTTGGTATTCCCCGCTGGAGCCAGGGGTCAGAATTCCTGAGCATGACCACAGCTTCCCAGTGGGAAAGGAAGCGCCAGCTCGACAGGTGAAGGGAGCAGGTGGGATTTCTCTAGAACCGCTTTAGTGCCTTCGTACATACACCCAGACGTCCTGCACAGGGAACTCAGTGTATGTGCCTGTGACCCAGCCGCTCCACACACGTTGAGATGCTTCTCCACAAATGAAGGTGGGGTGGTTCCGTCCCCCCTCCTCACCCCCCCAGAGGTAGTGGGCTAAGCTAAAAAGAAGCAAATAGAAGTCCAGAAGGTTCAGTATGCTTTCGTGTCAGGACAAGACAGAATGCCACATCCCTTCTTGGTGTTGTGTGCCCTGCATGCTCTGTGTCAGGCTTCCCCAGTGTGCCATGGAGGCAGCCTCTGGGATTAGAACGGCTCTGGGGAAGCCAACGAGAGAGGTTCCTGGTTTCTGCTCCTTGCCTCCTTGGGCTCTTCCATCTCTCCCCACCCCTCCGGAAGCTTTGCTGTGTTGGTTCTAAGAACAGGATAGGAAAAGGGTGTCGTGGATGAAAGAAGCTGCTTTCTTTGCATAGTACACTGTGGCAAGATCCAAGTCCACTGAGAAGTTAGGCGGCTCAGTGTACTTGTGAAGTTCAGTGGGAGTGTCTTCCCTCTGGCGCACGTACAGGAGCTTGGTAGTCGCCCTCACTGCCTAGACTGACTTCACAGACATCTTGAGCATGTAAATTTGAGCTTTCCGTTTTTGACTTGTTAACGAAAAACAATACTTGATTGCTAGTGGCAAGAGGTGTGTACATCTCTTAAACATTACATTCTGTCCACCAGATGAGTAAGCCAAAAGATGAGGTGCAGTAGCAGGAGAGGTGGTGTCTGCCTTCAGATGGAGGAGCTCTGTTGAGGGGTAGATCCAGTGCCATGACCTCATGTAGGTGTGTAGAGGCATTCAGATAACCCAAGACACTGTGACGCACCCGGAGGACCGGAAGACAGCCCCGACTCCTCCGTCGCTCACCCTCGTGCTCTCAAGCACAGCCTTCACAAGAGTTGACTTAGCAACGCTGCAGGTACCAGACGAGATTTCTTCCTTTCATTGCTGTCCCTCCCACCTTCAGCAAATCAATATTACCCATTAGTTTTGCCAGTCAGTTGGTTTTATTGATAAGCAGCTTGATTTTCTGTTACTATAACTCCTGTTGTAAGTGTTCTTCCACATTTTCTGACATGGATGTAGCATCTGTTAGCAGTTGGTTCACACTCCTGTGGGTTGAATGTGGTGTGTGAGGTATGCAAGGGGACAAAAAAAAAAAAAGAAAGGAAAAAAATTCTGCCTAAGAATTTGGGAGCGCCTTTTTAAAATGTATCTGTGAGAAACTAAAGGTGGGTTGTCTCTGAACTTGTTGCAAATACTCAACCCTTGCCACCCCTGTTGGGGAAGGTGACAAGTTTGCTAGGTTCCATATGACCTCAGATGCTGTGTACTTTCATATATACGTTCTGCCATCTTGACTCTTAGCCAGAAATAAAATGTCCATGTGTGGAGCAAACTACTCCAGCCACAGCTGTTTGTGAAAGCAAGATTGAAGTCTGTAGGAACAGCGGAATTCTGTCAGAAAGGCCCCATTCTTCCACATCTGACCTGTTCAGCTAAGAGCAGAGATAACATGTTTAACTGGTTACAAAAACACCAGGCTTTCTTATCCAGTGTTTTTTGGTTTGTTTGTTTGTTTGTTTTTTGACAAGTTTCTTCACATTTCATGTCTATGCATTAACTACACTTCTTAGAGTTACTGGAAAAAAAAATGTTTTTTGTGGGTTTTTTTTTTCTTCCTGTGCGCTAGGGTCCCGTGGGATAGTACAGGTGAAGACCCTGTAGCCTGCATGTGTACAGTAAAGACCTAAAGACCTCAGCAGTCATTCAGGAAAAAAAAGGCCCCAGTCCCTGCTGCATACCACACTACCTGGTGAGACACCAGGCAGTGTCTGCCCACACAGTCACACAGAGTGCTGCCATCACCACTCTGTAAGAAAACGGAGAGTGCTAGCTGCGTTCCCAGCGCTTGCACATGCCCTGTGATGCAGTCTGGGCTGTGGCCAGTGACAGAGAAGGGCTTCTTTGTCAGTGGAAGTGAGTTTCCCTTGACCTTAATTTGACCAAGGGGGCTAGTATCACACACAACAGATCTGAGATAATTGTCTGAAATCAATGAGCGTAGTAAAACCTTTATAAAAATTGGCATCAACCCTCCCTAACCTGACTGTTACACTGCCCCACCCCATCCCCATGCTGCCAAGGAGAGAGGCCGTGAAATCTCCATGATGGCAAAGGGTGAACCCAGGTCAGGAGCTGGAAGCTGGTCCACATCCTCGCCATGAGAGAGTGAAAAGGGAATGAGTCACTCAGGCCACATGCTGAGGGCTATTAGAAGCAGCAGCAGTGACTGGGGCAGCCAGGTTCCATGTCAGACAAGTTAGGTAGCTCCTCACTTAAACCTGCGTGTTTTCCTGCTTAGAAACCCCTCACTAGGAACAGTGAGTTCTTCATTGTGACAGAATCTTGTTTGAAGTAAGAAGGAAAGAGCACTTTGCACCTCAGCTTGGTTTTCAAGCTCTGAAAATGCCCAAGCTGTAACACATTCATTTCTATCCTGAATCAGAGAGCGAGAGCTGCAGTTCACAGTGAGCAGCAGAGAAAGCCAGCTTGGCCGAGGCAGCCATGGCACGCACTGGGCTCTTCTGCCCCCGGCCCTCCTCCTGGGGTTCAGTGCACAACCCTCCAGGGCATGTGATGTGAAGGGCCCTGACTGCCCCTCCGCATGCTTACCCAAAGGGAAAAGGGAGGGCTTGCTGCCAAACAAAGCCAAGATCTTTGGAACCCTTCGAGAAGTGACACACCTTGTGAAGGTGGTAATAGTCTTACCATGGGATGTGTTTAAGCAAGATACTTCCTGCCAGAAATGTAGGGATGAGATAGAAATGATGTGTCTGAACCACCACCAGCCCCACCCCCCTTTTTAGTTTGGTCCACGAAATGACCTCCGTGTAGTATTTCTGAATGTGCCTCGGCGGGTCCAGAAAGCGTCTGTTATAGAAAGAGGCTAGCTTTGGGCTAAAAGCAAAAAGGCAGACAGCTTCGTATCGAGGGAAGTTCGTTTTTCCCGGGAGTGCAGGCTGGGTGTGGGGGAGCACTGTAGCATCTGCAGTGTTTGCCATTGTAGCCTTACGTGGAAGGGATCCTGGGACATGGGAGAGGAGATTGTGGCCGAATGACAGAGACCCAGGCTCCTTTAAGAGTGCGGGCTCAGCGTGGGCCTCTGCATTTCTTTGTTTCCCTGTATGGGAATGACGCAGCAGCTGTGACCCATGCAAGCGTGTGAAGAAGGCGTTCTTAGCATGTGCTCTGTCAGACAGCGCATGTGCCCCGTGAGGAACCCACATGTGGAAATGCAGGGTGTTGCGTGTGAGGCAAGGGCTGCCGCAGGCTGCACCACTGTTCCTCTTCTCCCTCTCCCTGTCTTCTAGGGAAGGCTGAGAGCCAATTCTGAAATTCCCCAGAATGCCCCCGAAAAGGAGACGCTCCTTCCCGCTAGGTTTGCAGGGAGGAGAGAAGCTGCCACGGGCTGTGCCTCACTCTCATTCCTCTCTAATGGCCTTGAAATGTATTATTATGCAAATGTGAATTTTGATACTGAATTTTAAGAAGAGGTTGTTTGATTTTTTTTTTCTTTTTCCAAAAAACAAACAAAAAAAAGATCTCTTACGTGGTGGTCATCGTCGCTTTATTTTGTAAGGTGAATTTGTGACTATGCATCCTGCAAGGCGGGGGGGAGGAGTGGACAGAGAGGGGAAGGCAAATGGCTTTGCACCCTTTTTCTCCTGTTTCTGTGTCCGTGGTATCCCCAGGTCCTGGGGGGTTAGGGAGTGGATAAAGATACAG